TGACCCAAAAATACCTTGTTTGCAAAAGCTTTATAAAGCTTGGAGAGCAAAATGTTTTCCACAAATAAAATTCCATTATTGCACTTTGTGTCTTTTTTAACCTAAAAAAAATGAAACACTTTCACCATCACGTCTTTCCAAGGGAGACCAAACACAGTCAAAAAAAGGGAAAATATCCAACCCCTCTTTCGATGTAGACACTAACAAAGTTAACTACAAAAAAAAGTTTCAAACATTTTGCCATAATCATTACCCCTTAATTAAAAAAGCAGATTTTAATAATATCACACCTTAAAATCATTTTTTGTCTTATGACTATTTACAGAATTAACCCGGAAGCTGTCTCACTTTTACCCGTGTATAAAGAAAAAATTAATTTTAAGGCATAAAGCAACAATTTAATCTATGAATAAAATTTTATCCTACAAGGAACTTTTTTGGGGTTTCCGACCCAAGGAATATGATCTCTCTTTTTTCCCTTTCCTTGGATTGACCTTCACTGCTTCCCCTACCCCTGGTGGTTATAACCCCTACAGGTTTAGCTTCTTTTTAAATGAATATTTTTATTTTTTTTTCATTCAAAAGTTTCAAAACAGTATTGGCCATATTTAAATTCCAACCCTATATTATTTTAATTATTATTTCAAAATTTTAAACATGAAAAGCCCCTTTTGTTGTGTGTAGTCAGTTGGGTGAGAAAGGTTAAAGTGCCAAGGTAAGTGAGTAATTTTTCATGCACACATTAATACATTTTCATAAAATTATCATACAAAGCAGCATTTTTGTAATTACCCAAAAACCAAAAAATCAAAGAAAAAAAATGACTCATTTCCCCGAGGTCCGAGTAAAAAAATGGAAAGCAAGAAATTTTTCAATGTAGCAATCAAAATCAGTTAAGAAAAAAATAACATAAAATGCATTAAAGGTGACTGACAAAGCTGAATCAACTGACAAGCAAATAGAATTAGACTGTCAGGATAATACCAAAGAGTTGTTATAAATGTAATGTAGTAAACGTACTTAGTCAGCAAAGATCTTCAGTACAACTCTATAGCATTTAAAAACCCCTTCATGAGGCATATCTTATGCTGGGAAGGATCTTTATCCAATAATTTTGGGCTGCCCCCCCCCCATTATTTATTTAAACTACCAAAAATACTACTACTCTACTATACAAATTCTATTCTACCATACTATTCACTATAAACTACTTTCCCCACTACTACTAGTATTCTACTATACTACTTCCCTGACACTATTGTTATTTTCATTTCCCTACTACTACTCTATTTCTTTCCCTACTACATTTTTTCTACTACATGCGCTTTAAGATAATTACTAACTTGCTAAAGTATAAATGAACTTAAGGCTGTGAAATGACCCCGCATAACTTGTAATAAAATTGGTAGAATTTCCGACAATATGTAAAAGTAAAGGCACAAGTACAACAATGTACAAATTTTTTGGCAAAGTTTCGCTCTCCAGGAGCTTTTGTTTTTCACAATAAATTACACAGTTGCCCTTTGGTCCTTTTTCTTTACAGCATAAAATTGTGCCGCTACTACAAACCTTTAAAATTGTCAAGAACTTTTTTGGAATAAATAAAAAAGTAAATAAATTCTTTGGGGTTTTTTGGGGGTTTATAGAGGCAGCAGAAAACCCGTGTTTGAACCCCGATTCCGGTTACCAGGGGAAAAAATAGTACCCAAAACTGGCATGAAGGGGGGAAAACAAGTTTCCTTCTTAATTTCGGGGAAAAAAAAGGAAAAGAAATTTTTTGAAATTTGGGCAGGTGGATTCCGAGCTAAAAACCGGCAGTGATAGACCCAATAATCAAATGAACATAACCACTTCCCCAAAAAAGCCGTAAAAAATTCACAAAGAAAAAACAATATCTAACATGTTGGGTGGGGTGGGAGGGGAAATGGGAATATTTATTTTTTATTAATTTTTTTTTTTTTATCCACTGGCCGTTTCCCCCCAAGGCCGGGGGGGCCCGAAAAAGAAAAAACTTTCACCATCTTCACTCCTCACTGTCTTGCCAGAAGGGGGGGCTTTACACTACAGTTTTTAAACTGCAACATTAACCCCCCTCCCAGAGTCAGGGACTGTAAACCCTCTCCAGGACCCTCCGGCCGCCGTTTTTCCCCGAATCCCTTCAAAATGTTACTTTCCCCACTCCCAAAAGCACGTCAATATTTTTAAAAACCCTTTTCTCCATTCATCCTATCAAACACGCTCATGCATACCGCTGGAATCCAAGCCCCTCGCCACAAAAACCCCCCTTTTCCCCCTCCCTCCAACCTTTCCCAGGCCACCCCTACCCCGCCTTCCTTCCACTACAGAGATACCTCTTTAAGTCATTCTGTTTGCCCCCATTTTTCCTCATGTCCGAACCACCTCAACAACCCTTTTCCCCGCCCCTGGACAACGTTTTTTTAACCCGCACCTCCCCTAACTTCCAAACACGAATTCTCTGCAAAAATTCACACCACACATTGCCCTCAGACATATCCCCTGCCTCCAGCCTTCTCCCCCGCTGCAACACTCACCCATGCTTCACACCAATAAGACGTTGGTAAAACCCATACTTAACATTCCCCTCTTTGCCTCCCGGACAAGTTCTTTGTCTCCACAGACTCCTAAGTGCACCACTCACTCTTTTTCCCTCATCAATTCTATGATTCACCTCATCTTTCATAGACCCATCCGCTGACACGTCCACTCCCAAATATCTGAATACATTCACCTCCTCCATACTCTCTCCCTCCAATCTGATATTCAATCTTTCATCACCTAATCTTTTTGTTATCCTCATAACCTTACTCTTTCCTGTATTCACTTTAATTTTCTTCTTTTGCACCACCCTACCAAATTCATCCACCAATCTCTGCAACTTCTCTTCAGAATCTCCCAAGAGCACAGTGTCATCAGCAAAGAGCAGCTGTGACAACTCCCACTTTGTGTGTGATTCTTTATCTTTTAACTCCACGCCTCTTGTCAAGACCCTCGCATTACTTCTCTTACAACCCCATCTATAAATATATTAAACAACCACGGTGACATCACACATCCTTGTCTAAGGCCTACTTTTACTGGGAAATAATTTCCCTCTTTCCTACATACTCTAACTTGAGCCTCACTATCCTCGTAAAAACTCTTCACTGCTTTCAGTAACCTACCTCCTACACCATACACTTGCAACATCTGCCACATTGCCCCCGTATCCACCCTGTCATACGCCTTTTCCAAATCCATAAATGCCACAAAGACCTCTTTAGCCTTATCTAAATACTGTTCACTTATATGTTTCACTGTAAACACCTGGTCCACACACCCCCTACCTTTCCTAAAGCCTCCTTGTTCATCTGCTATCCTATTCTCCGTCTTACTCTTAATTCTTTCAATAATAACTTACCATACACTTTACCAGGTATACTCAGCAGACTTATCCCCTATAATTTTTGCACTCTCTTTTATCCCCTTTGCCTTTATACAAAGGAACTATGCATGCTCTCTGCCAATCCTAGGTACCTTACCCTCTTCCATACATTTATTAAATAATTGCACCAACCACTCCAAAACTATATCCCCACCTGCTTTTAACATTTCTATCTTTATCCCATCAATCCCGGCTGCCTTACCCCCTTTCATTTTACCTACTGCCTCACGAACTTCCCCCACACTCACAACTGGCTCTTCCTCACTCCTACAAGATGTTATTCCTCCTTGCCCTATACACGAAATCACAGCTTCCCTATCTTCATCAACATTTAACAATTCCTCAAAATATTCCCTCCATCTTCCCAATACCTCTAACTCTCCATTTAATAACTCTCCTCCTCCTATTTTTAACTGACAAATCCATTTGTTCTCTAGGCTTTCTTAACTTGTTAATCTCACTCCAAAATTTTTTCTTATTTTCAACAAAATTTGTTGATAACATCTCACCCACTCTCTCATTTGCTCTCTTTTTACATTGCTTCACCACTCTCTTAACCTCTCTCTTTTTCTCCATATACTCTTCCCTCCTTGCATCACTTCTACTTTGTAAAAACTTCTCATATGCTAACTTTTTCTCCCTTACTACTCTCTTTACATCATCATTCCACCATATTTAAACAGAGTATTTAAACTAGTTCATCTATCATAACTTTGGGGTCCAGTCCCTGGACCCATTATGTACCTTTGTAATCTTTTGACTACCGCCCACAGGATGGGTATGTGGTGCATAATAAAGATATTAAACTAAACTTCAGGAAGAAATCCATATGCTCTTCCCTGAAGCCTTTTTATCCACTTCTCCGAGACTATGGGTCCCACAATTTACACCAGAGGTGGACCCCATTATATCTAATTAAGTAAGTTTATTCAGGTACTACATGTACATATAAATAAAGTTACATAAATGATCTATAACTAGTTAATTAATGGTTCAAGCTGGACCGAAACGTCCTCATAAGTTTCATTCTTTTATGTGTACAGGCACACATAGGTACAATTATCATACATAGAAACATATATGTAAATTACCTTTATTTCAAAATTAATGTACAGTAAAAAATCTGAAGGCTCATAGACTGCACAGCATTTCAGCCAAAATTTTGTATCTATGGGTAGTTTGTTACCAGCAAATTTACTGCAAATAAATAAAAAAAATGCCCCAGAAATAATGGAATTAAAATTTATAAAGTGAGTCTATTTAGGCACAGGTACACATAAGTACAATTATTATACATAGTGAAAATTACCTATGATAAGAGATAGATAAGGATAACCCAAAAAAAGCCAAATAAGTAAATAAGTAAGTTTACTCAGGTATACACAAATACAGTTACATAGATTATCATACATAGCATATGTGTAAAGTACCTGGGATAACCCAAAAAAGTCAGACAGAGTGACTTACTTCCATTGGGATCCTTTTACCTTATTATTATAATATAAAGGTGATAATATCTTATTATTATTCTATAAAGGAGATAACATCTTATTATCATACTATTAAAACTATCTACTACACAAGGGTCATTAAGACTACTACATGAGGATCATTAAGACTATCTATAATACGGGTCATTACTAGGAATAAAGTAAAATTGCACGTGTGTTAGCTAAAAAAAAATAAAAAATCATTCCCCTCCCTTTCTGAAGCTACATTCATTAGGCACCGTTTGGCACTTTTCTTGAACTGGTTCATGCTATGACTGGCTTTGACATGTGCAGGCAGTCTGATCCATTCCTTTATTGCTGTACAATAAAAGGTGTTTGAAGTCTGGCCAATGACTGTGGCTACTACAAAATTGGCAACAAGATATTCTGGACACTGTGAGTAATTTTATAAACTTGATTTAACTTCAGTTGTTTTACTCTGTCTTCAACATTCAGGATATCCAACTGCTGTAATTCATCCTGGCCTACATGTGCTCTTGGTCCCAGGTCCAGGATGAATCTTACCATTTTGTTCTGGGTGATTTGCAGTCTATCTTTCATTTTTTTTTTTTTCGTCAAGGCAGAGTATCATGAAGAGCAAGTGTAATCCATATGACACTGTTATATGTACAGTTATAGAGGCTAAAACGTTGTGTAGTTTTAAAAATAGGTTAGATAAATACATGAGTGGGTGTGAGTTGGACCTGACTAGCTTGTGCTACTAGGTCAATTGCCGTGTTCCTTCCTTATGTGAATGTGACCTGACATGACTTGACTAGGTTGGGGCATTGGCTTAAGCCGATAGGAGACTTGGACCTGCCTCGCATGAGCCAGTAGGCCTTCTGGAGTGTTCCATCTTTCTTATGTTCTTATGTATAAGGGCTAGACAAAGGGTCCTGCGAGTCTCAGTAGGTAGACATTGTGCTTGTCTATAGAGGAATTTCAGTCTGGTGACTTATTTCCATTGTACATCTAAATAAATATCAGAATTCTATCATTTAATTACAAATTTGATTAAAAACGTATTTTCATGCTAATAAATTTAAATATAAAAAGTGAAGAGGTAATGACTGATGAAAGAACCATATGTGTGAGGGAGGGACGCCAGGGAGGATAGTGACTCAGGTGGTCTTCTTGCCCCAGACACCGTCCAGGAAGGTAATATCTCAGCCCCAGACACCGTCCAGGGAGGTAATATCTCAGCCCCAGACACCGTCCAGGGAGGTAATATCTCAGCCCCAGACACCGTCCAGGGAGGTAATATCTCAGCCCCAGACACCGTCCAGGGAGGTAATATCTCAGCCCCAGACACCGTCCAGGGAGGTAATATCTCAGCCCCAGACACCGTCCAGGGAGGTAATATCTCAGCCCCAGACACCGTCCAGGGATGTAATATCTCAGCCCCACACATCGTCCAGGGAGGTAATATCTCAGCCCCACACATCGTCCAGGGAGGTAATATCTCAGCCCCAGACACCGTTCAAGGATGTAATATCTCAGCCCCACACACCATCCAGGGAGGTAATATCTCAGCCCCACACACCATCCAGGGAGGTAATATCTCAGCCCCAGACACCGTCCAGGGATGTAATATCTCAGCCCCACACATCGTCCAGGGAGGTAATATCTCAGCCCCACACACCATCCAGGGAGGTAATATCTCAGCCCCACACACCATCCAGGGAGGTAATATCTCAGCCCCACACACCATCCAGGTAGGTAATATCTCAGCCCCACACACCATCCAGGGAGGTAATATCTCAGCCCCACACACCATCCAGGGAGGTAATATCTCAGCCCCACACACCGTCCAGGGAGGTAATATCTCAGCCCCACACACCGTCCAGGGAGGTAATATCTCAGCCCCACACACCGTCCAGGGAGGTAATATCTCAGCCCCACACACTGTCCAGGGAGGTAATATCTCAGCCCCACACCATCCAGGGAGGTAATATCTCAGCCCCACACACCATCCAGGGAGGTAATATCTCAGCCCCACACACCTCCAGGGAGGTAATATCTCAGCCCCACACACCGTCCATCAAGGTACATGTCTCGCTTTCATTCTTCTAAGTCTCAGATGTCTTACCATCCAGAAAATAACTCCTTTTATTTTTAACCTTATTCCTAGCGTATATCCTTTATAGTATAATAAGATTTCTCCTACATAAAAAAAAGATATTATCTCCTACCTTATATAGTAATATATTATCTCTTAAATTGTATAATAAGGTATTAAAAGGACCCCAATGGAAATAAGCCACTTTGACTTTTTTTTTTTTTTGGGTACTCCTAGGTTCTGTACACACATGCTTAGTGCTTCTTTTTGATTATAATAATAATGTACACACATGCTGCTATGTATGGTAATCTGTGTAACTGTATTTGTGTATACCTGAATAAATAATAAACTTAACATACTCTTCTATATTCCCCCCCCCCCCAAGCTGTATGACCCTTGTCGGTTTAGCACTTTCTTTGATTATAATAATTCTATCCTCTCCAGACATTCTTCTAGTCCCCAGACATTGTTCTATATTCTTCTAATACCCCCAGACACTGTCCTGAAAGGTAATTTCCTCGCCATACACTAATCTAGCCCCATTGTGCGGCTGTTATCCAGGAATTTTTTTTTTCTGAACCATCTCTAGGAAATAACCCAATTGACTTGATTCTTAAGAACCATGAAAGGAGGAGCATGGCGGCAGGCCTATTGGCCTATGCTAGGCAGGCGAGAAAGATGTATGATAATATACACTTGGAAAATCCAAGAGGGACTGGTCCCAAATCTGCACACAATCACATGGTAGGTGATGCAACAACTCCCCCCCCCCCCCCGAATGAAAATTAGGGGTGCCACGAGTATGCTGAGATGAGTATCGGGGGCCCAAGACTGTTTAATTGCCTCCCAGCTTACACCTAGCAGTAGATAGGTACTTGGGTGTTAGCCGACTGGTGTGGGTTGCATCTTGGGACAAAATTGACCTAATTTGCTCAAAATTCTCTGTATAGCAAAGGACTTTTTATATTGATGTCAGCTAGGTCTGTATATGTTGTACATGTAGTAATTATGTATTATTTTAATGGTTTATGTAATAACTGCATTCTTTCAGATGTCGGGCAATTTGGATAAAGCAAGAATGAGCAAGCTGGCAGACTTTAAGATAAGGAGCAGTGAATTTAAAGCTTGGGAGAAGGCTAAATTAAAAATAAGGTTGCAGAGGAACTGCTTGACTGAAGCTTTAGATGAGATGGTGAATTAATTCTCCATGTATTGGATATTGGAGGATAATTATTGTATCAATGTTGATGGAATTCCAACAATATTACGTAAAAGGACACAAGTGTAACTAACGAGACTTTTTATTGTGGCAACGTTTCGCTCTCCAGGAGCTTTATCGAGCCATTACAAACAATACATGGACACAGAGGGTGTCACTGCTGATAATACTGCACAAGAACATAACAGGAGGAACACTGAAACGAGCCTTCTCAAATCCAACCAGTAACAGAAATATTTGTCTAACCTATTTTTATGCTACCCAAGTAACAGCTTTTATAACATTTTACCGTGTGCAAGTTGATTGCTCTACCACATAGTATTACTACTACTACTACTACTACTACTACTGCTGCTACTACTACCACTCGTATTTCACCTCACTCTAAGCCTATATGTACCCTCCGTTTCCATGTATTGTTTGTAACGGCTTGATAAAGCTCCTGGAGAGTGAAACATTGCCACGATAAAATGTCACGTTAGTTGCAATTGTCCTTTTACCTAAAAGGATAATTGTTGCTCAGCAAGATGGGCATTTCCAATTAATGCCAAGATGCTTCGTGGGGTAGTTTATAAAATGCTTCAGGAGGCATTCTGGACAAGGACTGGTTCAGTTGAAACCAGCACAGGTGAGGGCACTAAAGTATAATCTATAATTGTTTCAAGTGCTGTGATCTATAGTCTGATCAACTTGTGTAACATAAATTAAAAAAAAAAAATCAGTAGCTACAGGCATGTCCTTTAAAGTGCAACCAGTGCTACATGGCAGTGGAATATTCTAATTTTAGCTTTTGTGATAAATGGCTTTTTCAACTTTTTTCCATATTTAACCTTTAACTGTTGACAGCCCCCTCCCTCTGAAATTAGGAACCGAGTGTTGTGATTTTTCAAATTCTGGAATGGTAGAGAATCTGAAGGTAATGACACCAAAATTGTGAAATTTAATGGAAACCTTCCCGTATTGTGCAGGCACAAAGTGCTGTCTGAGTGCAATTTACACAAGTGATTTTGCCTACTTTGAGGACCCAAATAAACTGTCCATTAATCAGAAAAGCCTATAAAGTGCACAGGAGTCTGTAATTCAGCCAGTTTTACACTAAATTCAACAATGCTAAATTTAAAACAATCCAAAATAAACTTTGCATTCCAGCAACTAAAGTAACCTATCCTCTGTTCATTAATCAAATCCTCAAGCCCCCTTCCTATAATATCCCTGCCCTCCAGGTATGTGTATAGTATATACGTATAAAAAATTGACTAAAATTGTAAAATAACCATCCATAACATTGATATAAAAAAAAAGTATAAAAATTTATGCATGGTTGCCCAATAGTAACATGTTCACTTGCCCTCAAATGGTTTACTTTGGTGGTTTGTGTAAATGCAGTTTTTCAAAGAAAGCAGCTTCACAGTTGTGTATTAATTTCTATTGGTATTGTGGACTTTTAGGAATAATTCGAATATCTAAATAAGGGTAACAGTAATATAGCTAATACTAATGCTGTTAGGTGTATGTACAAGTACATAGCAGTGGTTTAAACTACCAGACAGAAAATGGGTGAAACAGATATTCTGCCTGAATCTCCAGGTTAAATCAAAGTACGCATTTTGCCTGTGATCATTTATGCAGGGTGATGGAAGAACAAAATGATTTTTAGATTATTCATTGTGCACAACTTTTTGTAACCTTTTCATTTTTTTTTCTAGATTATAGAGCAGTGAACCTTCTGAGCTGAAGTCCACATTTAACTTCAATGGCGTGCTTCTAAATTTCTTATTGAAGCAGGTTAGTATTTCATAATGTACTGATAGTTAAACCTGAGATTTGGCACCCTGTACTGACCTTGTGGTTCAAAACCATATGGGTTCTAAACCATGGTGCAAAAGAAATGCCTAGCAAAGTCAAGCACTGTTCTATCATTAGACAGTGTGAGGAAGCAATGGAGACAAATGTTAACCGTTGGGCTGGGTAATTTTGAAAATTCTAGTTCAGATTATGTATTGCCCAGCTTTATTAGTTTAAATAGAAAAAAAAAATGGCTTGCAGTAAAAATTATGGGGGAGCACTAAACCCTTAGGGATTATTGCACCTGTGTATGGGGGGGGGGATGGATGGCATTCAAGCTCAGTTCAGGGAACTGGGGGCACAGATCCAGTTCCCTAGATCAAGAGCCCTTCACCAGCATCAAGGAACCTTCCTTGAGGGGTAGAAGTGACCAATCTGCAACTTTTGTGGTTCAGTAACAATTGAAATGGCTTACAGATTATGAAATTTCTCTTTGGAATAGGTGGCTGTTATGTACATCCTCAGGTTTACATAATTTTAATGATTGAATGACTTGTTTGTGCTAGAAATATTTATTAATGCAATTTGTTGTATGAATGTGGTGATGCTGCAAGAGTATCACTTGTGCAACGTGACTGGCAAGTTGTTTGGCCACATCCTTGCAGGGTCTCCTGTTGTGAACTTCCACCAGCCACCTCTTGTACTTCATTGATAGGAAAGTGGTTTGCCTCTATTCACACTGGTCTTGGAGACAGTTTGGTGTAGAGAAACTATGACCTTTAGTTTCCTGATGTGCTGGCCTCTTCTTTCACAAACTTGTTCCTGAGCAGGAGTTGGTGTATACTTCCAGACAAACTGTTTTCACAAGCTAGTCCCTGAGTAGCAATCTGTTTTTACATTGCTTTTACAAGCTAGTCCCTGAGTACTAAGTGTCTACTCTGACATACTGTTCTCTGTACTTTCTCAATGATCCTCAATATTTGACTCCATGGCCTATGAACTTCTTTACCAGGGCTGTTTCTTGTGTAAAAGTTTCTATTAGTGGTGGTGTCTTGGCTCTTTGTTGCTTTCATTTTTGTCAGTTTTTATGTAGTCCTTGGAGAATGTACAAAAGGCCTGAATTTTATATTAATTCTTACCATGTTTTATGAAAGTTGTTCCTTGTCATTTTCCCCAGTCCTTGACTTTTGAAAATCACTACACGGACTTGGTCTTTTTAACAAGTTTGCCGTCTGCCAACTAGGCAGGGTGATCCAAAAAGAAAGAAAATTTCCAAAACGAAAATACTTTCATCATTCAACACTTTCACCTCACTCATACGTAATTACTGTTTTTTGCAGAGATGCCCAGATACAACAGTTTAGAAGCATGTATAGATACAATATAAAAAGTGACCTGAAATAATTACAATATTAGGGCCCCAATTATATATATATTCTTTCTTTCAACACACCGGCCGTATCCCACCGAGGCGGGGTGGCCCAAAAGGAAAAACGAAAGTTTCTCCTTTTACATTTAGTAATATATACAGCAGAAGAGGTTACCAGTCCCTTGCTCCCGGCATTTTAGTCGCCTCTTACAACGCGCATGGCTTACGGAGGAAGAATTCTGTTCCACTTCCCCATGGAGATAAGAGGAAATAAAAAAGAATAAGAACTAGAAAGAAAATAGAAAACCCAAAGGGGTGTGTATATATGTGCTTGTACATGTATGTGTAGTGTGACCTAAGTATAAGCAGAATTAGCAATACGTACCTGAAATCTTGCATGTTCATGAGACAGAAAAAAGGACACCAGCAGTCCTACCATCATGTAAAACATTTACAGACTTTCGTTTTACACTCGCTTGGCAGGATGGTAGTACCTCCCTGGGCGGTTGCTGTACATATACACCTACCATCCGACTTACGACCGGTTTCTCGGAACCGAACTCTGTCATAAGTCGAACTTCACTACTGAATATCAACATAACATTTTTGTAATGACTTTATTTTATTGTTTTATTTTGGTATTTCATGTTTTACTTTACTTTTTATGCTGTTAGTACTGTATTTTATACTGTAAGGTTTTGGATAAACACTGTGTACAACACAAATAGTTGTTTATTTCCCAGAAATTTGGCATAAAAAACACGGTCGTAAGTCGAGTGGTCGTAAGTTGAGCAGGCCGTAAGTCGGATGGTTGGTGTGTATATAAATATATTTATATATATTTATATATAAATATAAATATATATACACACATACACCGTCCTATTACACATCTCGCCAAACTGCCAATATCCCAAACCCCTCGAGTCCGGCCATATAAAAATAATTAGTTTCTCTGAATCCCTTCACTAAATATTACCCTGCTCACACTCTAACAGCTCGTCAGGTCCCAAAAACCATTCGTCTGTATTCACTCCTATCTAACGCTCATGCATGCTTGCTGGAAGTCCAAGCTCCTCGCCCACAAAACCTCCTTTACCCCCTCCCTCCAGCCTTTTCGAGGAGGACCCCTACCCCGCCTTCCTTTCCCTACAGATTTATACACTCTCCATGTCATTCTACTTTGATCCATTCTCTCTAAATGACCAGACCACCTCAACAACCCCTCTTCAGCCCTCTGACTAATACTTTTATTAACTCCACACCTAATTTCCACACTTCGAATTCTCTGCATAATATTCACACCACACATTGCCCTTAGACAGGACATCTCCACTGCCTCCTCACTGCAGCATATCAACCCAAGCTTCACACCCATATGAGTGTTGGTACCACTATACTTTCATACATTTCCTTCTTGCCTTCATTGATAACGTTTTTCGTCTCCATGTATGCCTCAACGCAACACTCGCTTTTTTTTCCTCGTCAATTCTATGGTTAACCTCATCCTTCATCAACCCTTTAGTGTAAGTATATTTTATGCAAACCATAAACACTTGGGTTGGAGACGTTATTTTTTTATTGTAGGGTAATTTAATAAACAGCCTTCATGACTTGTACAACTTGCTTTAAACCAAAGTGCCTAGTGAAATCTTCAGGTAATATTTTTAATTGAAAAATACTTTTTATTATAATTATTATTATTATTATTATACAGAACTGCATGTAGTCTACTGATTACTGGCAAAATCTATTTATAGTAAAAACTGGCAAGTTGTGGTGGTCTTATTGTTTGTATTTAGTGTTATTTAAGGGAGTTGCCTAGTCAATGATTAGAATGTCTCTTTAGAATTTTAAATAAGCTTGGAAATGCATTCTTTACTGAATGAAAGGTGGGATTTGAAAGAAATTGAAGGATGAAACTACATTTTTTTTTTTAAATTGTAGTACTTTTGAGATTTAAACTTTTTGGAATATTTTAAATTTGGTAGTGTCTTCATAGTTAAAAAGTTATTTGCACAACAGATCCAGGTTCTATTGTTGTAGATAAACTGGCATTCCAAGTTCATATGTAATAGTTGCTACACCTCTTGTGAGAATAGTAAATAAAATTTCATAGCATTACATTGTGAACAAATAATCAGTGATGGCAAGATAATTTAATGTAACATTTTATTTTTACAGGATGAATTTGGCAAGTAGAAGAGGAATTTTTGATGCTGCGGTGCTGCTAAACTTTGTTACATACTGAGCAAAAGTGGCTAATTTTTTTTTTTCATACAGGTAAATGAGATTTATATAAATGCCTAAAGAAATTATGCAAAATTTCTATATGTACTTGGTATTTTTTAAGGTATTTTAATTAAAACTCTCATTGACCTAAGAGGCTATACAGTGTTTTGAATACTTTAATTTCCTTTGTGATGATTTAATATAATTTATTTGCACTGCCTGTAGTTTTATTGATGCTTCCATGCCCTTTCAAGGGAGGGAGGGAGGGGTGAAGTTCTTGTCTTAAAGGTCCCCTCAAGGGAGTTCCTTGAAGCCAGTGTGGGTTATTTAATCCTAGGAATTGGACTTTTGCTCACTTTTCCTGGATCAAACCTGAATACCTCCCACAACCCCAAGGGGTTGTGTGATCCTTGCAAGTATAGCACTCCCCCTTGACATGCTAAAGAGAATTTGTCACTAGTGTGTAAAGGTAGAAAGTTGAAAGTGAACATAGATAAGAGTAAGGTGATGAGGGTATCAAATGATTTAAAGAAAAACTGGATATAACATTGGAGAGAGGAAGTATGGAAGAAGTGAATTTTTCAGATATTTGGGAGTTGACGTGTCAGCAGATGGGTTTATGAAGGACGAGGTTAACCATAGAATTGATGAAGGAAAAGAAGGCGAGTGGTGCGTTGAGGTATATGTGGAGACAGAAAATGTTATCTATGCAGGCAAAGAAGGGAATGTATGAAAGTATAGTGGTACAAACTCTTATATGGGTGTGAAGCTTGGGTTGTAAATGCTGCAGCAAGGAGGCAGGTGGAGGCAGTGGAGATGTCCTGTCTAAGGGCAATGTGTGGTGTAAATATGCAGAAAATTTGGAGTAGGTGTGGAGTTAATAAAAGTATTAGAGGGCCGAAGAGGGGTTGAGGTGGTTTGGTCATTCAGAGAGAATGGATCAAAGAATGACAGCGTATAAATCTATAGGGTCGTCCTCGAAAAGGTTGGAGGGAGGGGGTAAAGGAGGTTTTGTGGGCGAGGGGCTTGGACTTCCAGCAAGCATACGTGAGCTTGTTAGATAGGAGTGAATGGAGACAAATGGTGTTTTGGGACCTGACAAGCTGTTGGAGTGTGACCTGGGTAATATTCAGTGAAGGGATTCAGGGAAACCAGTTATTTTAATTTTGAGTACTGGAAATGAAGTACAATGCCTGCACTTTAAAGGAGGAGTCTGGGATATTGGCAGTTTGGAGGGATATGTTATATATCTTTATATATGCTTCTGAATTGTTGTAGCTGGGTGCCTCTGCAAAAACAATGATGTATGAGTGAGGTGAAAGTGTTGAATGATGATGAAAGTATTTTCTTTTTGGAGATTTTTTCTTTTTGGGTCACCCTGCCTTGGTGGGAAACTGCCAACTTGTTTGAAAAAAAAAATTATATATCGCTCAACTCATGGTCATTTTATAGTCCACACACATTGGAAAGGTGGTGGTTGGGAGGGGGGCAAGTTAAGAATGCAGGCACAAAATTTGCTAAGTTTTTTGTTCACAGAATTTATGCTAGCCTTTCCTTAAATGAAGCCCAATTACAGTAGACTACCTGCTGTCTTTCCTTGCCAATTTGACTTGGTCCCTTTTCGATATAAAAAAAATATCGACAAAAAAAAAAAAAATGGATTAAGATGTAGAAACATTTTGCCTAGGCTTAAATATTGGCAGATGTTAATCATCTTTACTTCGCTGCTACTGCTGCCTACAATACATTCTCTTTGACTGATGGAAGCCTACTGTGTAGGTGAAACATTTCAACAAGATACACAACTGTTGCACAAGTCTTAACTTGTTGGTATTTTATAAAATTTTCAACATACACATTAACAAGACTAGGTATACAAACCTATGGTTGTCAAATTTAGCCACCATATAAGTATTATATTTAATAAATGCTATTACATCATATGCACAGGCAACAAGAGATTAAACACTCAAAATGAATTAAAAAATCTGCAGATTACATTAATGGAGCTGTATAGCCCTTGTGGCTTAGCACTTCTTTTTGATTATAATAATAATAATAATACATTAATGGAGCACTGGCTGTGTAGTGGTCTTAGTGCTGGGAGGCATTAGTTTGATCCAAGAGAAGGTATAATTCTTCAGATATAGGCCCTTAATCAACATAAGGAACCTCTTGAGGGGTAAATTTACATATGTACATCCTAGTATCTACAATAGTTAAATTTAATTTTCCAAGTAATTAAAATTTCATCCTTGCCCACGACGAATGTAGAGTGTATGTCGCTCATTTGCTTTCACCTCTCTTGCTCCTGTTTTAAATACAACAACCTGGCGACCTGGCAAAGAAAGTCGCTTTAGGAACTTTGCTCTACAGTTTCTATAATGAATGGTTAGACTGAAGTGAGGGGTTATGCTTTTCTTGTTTTCAAACTGTGTAATATATTTGACAGCACAAAAACCAGACTTACCTGTCCATGTCCACTCATCAATCAAAACAAATGCTACACACTTCTTCAACTGCAAACATAACCAGGCTCCTTCAGCTGGTGAGGACACTGACTGGACACACCTTGTGCTCAGTATTGTCGAACAAGAGAAGTCTGCTGCAAAAACAGTGGATCCATGGAGGACTGTGTAACCTATAGAAAACAGGTTTAACAATTATAATTAAAAAAGATTGATGGAAATACCACACTGTACCAAGCATATTAAAATAAAAAATTACCTATTCTGTGGCAGTTTCTTTAAAATTTTAAACATTTTGTGACCCCTGTGAGGTGCAAATCTTGTATATAAGCTGAGTTTGTTTTAATCCCTATTTCAAGGATAAAGTATATCTGGTGGTGAAAAGGTATGTGCAGCCTCACCCCATTAACCCTCAATATTGTGTATACTGTACATTAATTCACTTTCTAACTTCAGTCTATTTAGTATTTACTTGTAATTATAATAATACTAAATGGTTTAGTATTTTTTAGCACTCCATTATAATAATTTACAGTAAAACCCTCCAAATTCTATAAAACAGAGAACTCCATATCTGGAAAATATACTACTCATTGGTTCAAAGCAGCTGTCAATTCTTACTATTACCACTTTTTGATAATAACTCCTGCTGATTACTGTACTAAAAAGTAAATGCTAAACTGTAATGGGGGTCACTGCTGCAGTGGGTATATATAGTAAACTTTAAGATAGGGGAAAAGAGGGTTAAAAATAAAGTAAATAGTTGTATCAAAACCAATTGCTAAACTTCCATGAGGGCTATGCAGGGTGGAATATACTAAGATCAGGGGTATGCAACAGGCAAGAGTTAGCGAATGTAGTGGAGGAGCACTAAGGTGAAAATATAATCAAAGTTGGTGTAATAAGGAAGTTGCTGACAAAGTTGGGGCTGTCAAGAGTGCTCTACGGTGATGAAACCCTTGTGGGTTTAGCACTTCATTTTGATTATAATAATTAAGGATGATGATGTCAAGTAAATTGTGTGTGCCTGCTAACAGACAGGGCAGTTTATTAAGAAATTGTGATTGTACAAGGTCAGTTTCTTCAATCTGAGAGCAAGTGTCTTGAAATGTGAGATTTTCAGCAGGAATGATTTCGTCTGGGTGTTAGCATAAAGTGCATTTTGTGTGCTCCTACCCCTGTGGGTTTAGCACTTAGTTATGATAATTGTGTGCTCCTAGATATATAGGATAGTGTTATCTGGCAGACTTAGAAGAGAGGCACCTGGCATATCTCCATGAGATTCATGCTCTCTGATTCAAAATGAGAGGATAGTTTCCCACATATGACAACACTGGAAAGATGACCAATTACCTAGTTGTGGTTTCATGAAAAACAATTTACTGTTTAATGTGAACCAATGCTGTTGCCAGCAATTTTGAAACTGCCGAGGAATAACTGCAACCATAAGTCGAACAAAGGCAAATTATAAATTAAAAGCATTGTTTTAAAATCATTATAAACAGAAGAGAGATGATGAGACAGAGTATAAATTTGTCCTGCACTCAGCAGACAGAGTTGAGCCTCCATCACATTTTGTACTGAATGACCTATGTGGGTTAAGCAATTAACATTATTTTTTTATATACTATACAAAGCTTGATTGTGAGGTATGTTTTGAGTGGTGCAATAAGAAGCATGGAGTCAGTGGAAATGATGTGGGAGATTACTTTATGGTGCAATTATTATGCACGTAATATATGTAAATAACAAGTTAGGAAACAGTGAGACTGAATGGAATGTAAAGTTCAAAGAGCAGAGAATGGTGAAGTAAGTTGTGCCATACAGCCCTACAATATTTATTGTGAGGACATTTTGCCAGGGAAGCTTTCATAATCCAATGTGTCACTGAATTTTAAAAGTTTCCCCAGTTGAAATGTCTCAATAAATATCCTAAAGGTACTACACATTCATTTCACTCATCGGTATCTGATACCATCAATTATTTATCAGAAGAAGGGTTGCTTAGGCTTGGTCACACAGGAAGGATAGAGCAGGACGTATCGATTAAAAAGACGTAGGTTATAATGATAACAGAATATTGTACTTTTTTTCCAGAATGGCTGTCTTGCACCAAGGCAGGGTGACCCCCCAAAAAAGTAATGCATTCATTCCATAGCTATCTTGCCAGACACCCAGCCATCACAGTTCAAATGACCCCCAAAACTGCCATATCCTCATTCCTCCTAAGAGTGCAGTCACTCTACTTCCCAAATCCAAGATTCAATATCATGAACTAATGCAAATTATTATTCTCCATTCACTCTGACCTAATATGTTCACATATGTCCCACCTAAAATCCTTTAATCCTTCCTTCTGCTGTATGACCTTTGTGGGTTTAGCATTTAATAATAATCCTTCCTTCCCAGTGTACTTACTGTGGATAATTTCCTTCTCAGCAGGAGATAAGTAGACTCCAGAGGAATAATTCTTCACTAACATCTGAATTTCTTTGTATACGGCTTCAGAATCCAATAATCCAAATGACTGCCGGTTTACAAGGTGTTGACAAGTGCTTTCAAGGGCTGCTGGACCTCCATATAGGATCAGTAGACGCATTAAGTGCTGGCTTGCATGGATGGCATTAAGGCGACTGTTGAAGCCTTTGCATAACCCATTCACACACGACACTGATGGGTAATACAGTATACAAAAATAAGTGAATTATTAGAGTATTAGTTATTATTAACATGAAAGATTAAGAATATGTAATTGTGTAAAGAATGCATTACCTCCCCAAAATCATAAAAGAATTTTTTGGTTGTAACACACCAGTCCTCTCCCACTGAGGTAGTTAATATGAATTAGGTATTTGTATTAACAGTCAGATCTGGATTGAATTTTGTTAGTAGCATCTTGGAAAATAGTGTATCACTGCCCAGATCTTAAAGATTTTAGTAACAGCATCTGATGGTAATAATTTAGGCTGGTTGTAATAAATTAGGTGTTACACCAGTTGACCATCCTACAAATGTATGAAAGCAAAAACCTCATTTCTTTTTGTAGGATCAGAGCAAATTATTTCACAAAATATCTTTTACAACTTTCTCCTCTGAATATGTGAGTCTTGAGTCTGATTCTTATAAACCAGATATTGTTTACAATACAACCACCATTACCTTCATCTCTCATGCATACATTATTCTGAATACGATGATTATCACTGTAATAAACAGTACTTCACTTGTATTTCACACTAATCTATATTTGCTCACCAATCACATATTTATGGAATGTTGTAATTTTTAAAGTATTACATTAAAGGGGAAGTGTTAAACCCCAGAGGTCATACAGTTAACAAAATCATGATTTCATCTTTAAATACATGTATAAAGAGAGATTTCTGTTCTTCACAGTGTAACAAATTATTTTTGCATATACAAAAACATATCCTGTGCTGTACTATATACAACAGTGTTAATGATATCTTAGTAAATCAATATGTACATTATTTTAACAACAACAGCTAAGGTTTCTCATATTACAGTATACTATAATACTTACATTTAATAAGAATGCTCTCTTTGTTCCCATCTTTTATGGTACAGTCCATGTCACTGGTACACACAGGATCTCCAATTACTATGTCATCAACATCAGATAGCTTGAGTAATCCATCTGAGATGACAAACTGCTCTCGCCGTAAATCTTGCATTAGAAGAGTTCCAAGAGGCGACTGTGCCAGATGGTATAAAATTCTTCCAACATCCCTTGCTAACTGAAAATTCAATACAAATATTTTAATATCAAACACTAAACACATATGGGTCAGTTGTTACTTAAAAGTTTAATAAAAATATTATTACTCGAAAGAAGACCTACCAGCCAAGTTATTACATGGTCACTGAAATTACTTTTATTTAGTGAAAGGATTCAGGGAAACCGGTTATTTTATATAACTGGACTTGAGTCCTGGAAATGGGAAGTACAATGCCTGCACTCTAAAGGAGGGGTTTGGGATATTGGCAGTTTGGAGGGATATATTGTATATATATATACAGTGGACCCCCGCTTAACGATCACCTCCCAATGCGACCAATTATGTAAGTGTATTTATGTAAGTGCGTTTGTACGTGTATGTTTGGGGGTCTGAAATGGACTAATCTACTTCGCAATATTCCTTATGGGAACAAATTCGGTCAGTACTGGCACCTGAACATACTTCTGGAATGAAAAAATATCGTTAACCGGGGGTCCACTGTACTTCTAAACTGTTGTATTCTGGGCACCTCTGCAAAAACAGTGATTATATGTGAGTAAGGTAAAAGTGTTGAATGATGATGAAAGTATTTTCTTTTTGGGGATTTTCTTTCTTTTTGGGTCACCCTGCCTCGGTAGGAGACGGCCGACTTGTTAAAAAAAAAAAATTTATTACTCTATGTTAAATCATTTCTCACTATGACCACAGTCGCTGAAACAGAAATTGAGGAATACGAGGTACAATACCATGAAGGAGCAATACAAAAATAACCTGCACATGGGAGAAAGAAACTTATGACAATGTTTTGGTCTGATTTGAATCATTGACTAGTGTGCATGACTAATTAATGGTTCAAGTCAGACTGAAATGTTGTCATAAGTTTCTTTCTCCATGTGGGGGTTATTTGTGTATAGAGATTAAAGCAAGCAATTTCATAATGGTATTGTATAACTCACCTGCAACCTCTCCTCAAAACTCATCCGGAGCACACCAATAACATCAACTGGATGTCCTAATTCTGTCACTATCGACACAATGCCAGTTACTGGGGGGCCTGCAGAGTACTTCATGCTAGGCACACATTCTCCAAATACCTGATGTGGATTGTATTTTGTTATTAAATGGCTTGTTATCTATTTGACTATAAAAACCCAGCTGAACACATTCAATAATCATGGAAGTCTATGATATGCTTTCTGGGGGGCTATTTTGCAATTACAGGTGGGCCCTGCTTTACGGCATTTTGCTAATGCAGCGGTTTTCAATTATACCCATTCTACATTTATACAGACTTCCAACAATATATATATTCACCTCTTCACTATGAGCTAAGGACAAAAATATTTTAAGGTAAGTAATGCACGTAGTGTATATGAATTTTTTAGGCTTGGCTCTATTTCTCACTTAATATATGATAGTGTACATGTTATCAGGCTTTTATATGCATTTGAAAGTGAAAAAAGGTTATGTTTCACTTTATAGCAAAAGCCTGGAGTCTAAGCTGCTGTATAAGCAGGCCCACCTGTAATTATTATCACTTGTCAGCATTATACAGCTTCTCCTCACTTTGCGACGTACTCGTTTACCGACGACTCGGATTTACGATAGGCTCTTTGACCAGTATTCATACCTAAATAATGTATGTTACAGCTGATTTCCTATATTCTGTTTATTACAATACACAGTACACTACTGTATAAACATTTAAAAAATATACTAGAAATGCTATAAATGGTGCAAATGTGACATTAAAAAATATCAAAGATGGTTGACACAAACCCACGATCATTATACTATGCTCTTCATTTACCGATGAATTCGTTTATCGACGAGATCTTAAGAACGGAACTCAGTCGTTAAGTGAGGAGACACTGTACAGTATGTCTATACTGATTGTGAAAAATCATCAGTGTTTGTCACTGTTGTATAAATAGTGATTATGTGTAAAACATAATGCATACTTTAAACTATCGTAAAAAATACCTTCTTTCCCTAATATATCCCAACAACAGCTAAATATGATAAATGTGTTAATATGCTAAGCAATTCTCTCAACCAGAAACATATAAAACTACTATTATGTTATGGAATCTTCATTACCTGTAATTCTTACAATTAAATATGATAAATGGTTTAAATAATGTGTTAATATGCTTGTTTACCCTCCTTGTAATTCCCAAATTTATTGCTAATCCTGTAATCATAATCCAAAATGCAATCCTTACATTATTATTATAATCAAAACTAAGTGCTAAACCCAGCAGGGTCATACAGCACTGGTAATCCTTAAAACAATTAAATACAAACGACAGCTCTCAACTTCCAGATTGATAAATACATTTTCTTGTTAAAAAATCTTCTTTAATTATTTAATTACATTTAATATTATTTCAATTTACTAGGTAGTAGGTTGGTAGACAGCAACCACTCAGGGAGGTACTACCATCCTGCCAAGTGAGTGTAAAGCAAAAGCCTGTAATTGCTGTACATGATGGTGGGATTGCTGGTGTCTTTTTTCTGTCTCATAAACATGCAAGATTTCAGGTATGTCTTGCTACTTTCTTCTTACACTTAGGTCATACTACACATGCATGTACAAGCATATATGTACACACCCCTCTGGGTTTTCTTCTATTTTCTTACTAGTTCTTGTTCTTGTTTATTTCCTCTTATCTCCATGGGAAAATAGAACAGAATTCTTCCTCTGTAAGCCATGCGTGTCGTAAAAGATGACTAAAATGCCAGGAGCAAGGGCCTAGTAACCCCTTCTCCTGTATATATTACTAAAGTTAACAAGAGAAAGCTTTGTTTTTCTTTTTGAGCCACCCTGCCTCAGTGGGATATGGCCAGTTTGTTGAAAGAAGTTTTAGTATTTCTTTAATTTAAGGTTCTAGCAGTCCATGATGCTTTAGAGATATACAGGAAGTGTATAATTAAGGGGTTAGTGTGTGCTGATGAAGGTGACCACCACTGGTTCGGCAAAACAGTTAATTCGGCTAAGTTTTGGAACCAGTGGTGCCGGAAAATCAGTGGTGTACCATTATATGATTTGTGAAGTTTACACATAATTTTAATAAACTATAACATATATACTTGGTAGTATATTACTTTCCTGAAACTGATTATGTTCTATTTCCCCAATGTTCTGGAGACCTTTTGACATATTAAACCAATACATTAACTAAATATTTTGCCATGTCCATCAGATCTCTATGATTTACTGTACCAGATGTCCAAGTAAAATAGAATTTTAATGACTAATGGATATTACTTTGATGACATTTGTGTGAGACAGTTCTTGCAAGAGCCGAGCCTCCTTTATGATCTTCGCGGCAGACTGCTTATAGCAGATGCTCACCGAGTCGAAGCACTCGGTCATGTCATGGCCAGAGGTGTGTACAGTCTTAATGGCCAACCACGTTTTACCATACTGGCCTCTGGAAAAATACATAACAATAATAGCAATAACAATAATAATAAGAATAAGAATATACCTACAATAATAATAGTGTGAATGATGGTGAAAGCATTTCTTTTTCGGGTCACCCTGCTTCGGTAGGAGATGGGCAGTGTGCTAAAAAAGTTCCAATAATAATAATAAAGTCCTCATTTAATGTTATTGATAGGTCCTTGGAAACTGTGACTTTAAGTGAAACGATGTATAATGAAACCAAGAGCTCTTCCAATATCCACACCTTGCTTTTCATGCAAAAAATAAACTCCAGCTATGCACAGCATTTCGGGCAGACATCGTGTGCGGAAGCAACTCTAGCCAAGTCCGGTGAGTAGCTGTACTCTTGAATTTCTATTTGATACATTAAAGTCACAGTAAATTTAAGATTAATCTTCTAGTATTGTATCTTCAAACTATTTTACTTAGAGAGACAGACAGACATGTAAGCATGTAATGTAGAATATTTTTAACAAATACTTCAGTGTACTAGATCTGTACTTTAAGACTTATCAATTGGGGATGATAGTGTGCAGAAATATTTATGTGAAAGATTCTATGGTACTTCTCAACAGACTAAATAAAACAGTAATTAATTACATTTACAACAATATTTCTTCAAAATCAACTAGCTTTTTTATTTCTAATTTTTTTCTAATCATGCAATGAGTAATTAAAATATGGTACTGTACACCACATTTCTTAAGAACTTTCAGTATTACTCACCTATATACAGCTTTGGTCCATCCAAAGCCAATAATGCTAAGGTTAGAAATGGAGGAGATATCAGCACATTTCAGATTCTGTCCACTTGATGGATCCCATTCTATAATACATGTACACAAATATAAGTTAATAATTATTTTGGTACTGGTACATAAATGCTGGTGTTAAAAAGGAAACATTGAAAAAATCCACCTGAACTATTGAATTCAAACATGAACATCAACACAATTATTCTTTCTTATTAAGTTCATAAAATGAATGAAAACTTTTTTTTTTTCCACTCAGCTCTAGATGTTTAACATTCCAGGAGCCAAGAATAACTGAGCATATTTGCAAGTTCAGACACATTGTTATATAAAAAAAGACAGTACTGTAATGTATAATAATTTTGCTGAGAGAAGCCAATCATAATCTTGGATATCTCAGGGATTGTGTAATCCCCCTTGTACATATATGCTCCTGAGTGCTGTATCCAAAGCCAAGGAGTTAACAGATTTAAAGAACTTGCATTAAGCACAAGATTATTATAGACAGAGGGAAAAAATTAAAATTTAACCTAGGATAACCCCCCCCCCAAAAAAAAAAAAAAAAAAAAAACAAGCCAATTATAATGTTCCTTCAAATTCATGGGGTATATGTTTCCAGATGAGATGACCCAAGCCTGAATCTTTGGCAGTAGTACTGAGACATGGACAAGTCTCATTACTTGCATTTACTGTCCTAGTTCACACAACAATAAACAGATACCTGGGTGCTAGTGAAGTGTTGTGGGTGACATCCTATTGAGGGATAATGGAAATTTATCCCACAATATGGCTTTGTTGGGTTAGTCGAGGCTAATAATCCTCTCAGGTTAAAAAATAACCTCTATGTATGTCTTTTCCATTTTGGGTGTTAGATGATGTGGATTGCATTCTAAATGAGAACCCCAATAAAAAAAAATCTTACTTAGTTTTCTTGGGTTATTCCTGGTTTAAAAAGAAAAAAAATAAAATTAAAGCTCATATGCACGACTGACCATAAGGTTGGAGTGGAGGTAGTGGTGGTGGTGGTGTGAGAGGGGTCCAGTAGTGGCCACTTAGGAACACCACCACCATGATAATGTTAGCCAGCAGACATAGACACAGGTACACTGTCATGTACACCCATACACGGGACACCATCATATCTGATCAGAAAACACCATTTAAATCTACAGTAATTTATGTACTAGTAATTAAGTTTATTTAGGTATAGGTACACATAAGTACAATTATCATACATATTCAAATTCAAAATTCATATTAAAAAATTTATTTCTTTGCAAAATATACAATGTGCAGTTTACATGTAGTAAAATATTGTTAGGCATGTGCATTTCAGACAAACTAATCCTAATTCTTACACACCACTTAAAACTACACACAGGTTATAGAGTGGTGAATTTTGATGAGACATTAATACAAAAAAAGTTGGTGGCAATAATTTTATAAGTACAATTTATAGTAGAGGGGTTACAAACAAAAAAAATATTGCAATTAGTACAATTTACAATAGTGCAATTTTAAGTGTGTATTAATACTGAAATTAATTTAGTGTTCTTTAGTTAATTGGGATTTCTTGAGTAGTTGCAAACTGGTTCTGTGATTTCAGATACAGTATAGTATTGGTACAGTTAAATTTGAGAGATGAGGTGATTTTTAGTTATAGCCATAAATTGACTGGCACATAGCGGACCTTTCGTTGGTTCAGGCAATGAATTCCAGATCTTGGGGCCTTTCATGTGCATTGCATTTTTGCACAGGGTGAGACAGACATGAAGGAAGACAAAGAGAGTTTTGTGCCTTGTGTTGTGTTTGAGAGGAGGGTTTATATTGGAGTTTAATATTCTATATATATAGTAGGTACAGTAATATGAGTTCATATTTTGTATATTAAGTAAATTCAAACTCTTGAAAAGCAAAGGGGTGTGTTGTCTGGTGCAGGAGTTGGTGATCACCCACACAGCATTTTTTTGTTGGGTTATTAATGGTTTAAGGTGATTGAACGTGGTAGATCCCCAAACACAAATACCATAGGTGAGGTAAGGGTAGATCAGAGAGTGGTATAGTGAAGTGGTTCCATTTGAGGTACATAGTATCATACTGTGGAAAGGATGCCTGCTGTTTTGGAGACCTTGGATATATGTTGGATGTGGGTCTGAAATTTAAGGTTGCAGTCAAGGTGAAGACCTTGACTGCAACCTTAAATTTCATGTATAAATTACCTAGGATAACCTCCAAAAAAAGTCAAAGTTACATATTTCTATTGGGGTCCTTGTATTTCCATTGGGATCCTTATATTTCCATTTGGATCTTATATTTTAACTGAGGTCCTTATATTTCCATTGGTCCTTATAAATCCATTGAGGTCCTTTAACCTTGGATAAGTCACTAGTCACTGTGACTTATTTCAGCTGGAATTATTATTGCTTTTCTTTTATTCTGACACGTATGGATGACATCTTATAGTTATTAAATATAATTAAAATACCGCTTACAGGACACACAACGAGGACCACAATGGAAAAAGTTACTTCACCTGGCCCTTTTTTTGGGGGTTATCCAAAGTAATTTACACATATGTTAATATGTATGATAATGGTAATCACCTAAATTTGTATAACTGCACTTATGTGTACCTGAAGCTAAATACACTTATTTATTTACTTATTTATAACACCACTTTTATTGTTATTGTTGGGTTTGTAAGGGCCACTGACGGCTTCCATGCTTTATTATTAACTTTATTTCTACAAAGTAAATTTATTCAGGTACAGGTACACATAACACTTTGGTATTGATCATGACATGTTTTGGACTTTTTTTTTTTGCAAAACAATTAGCTATAACGTTTGTAGCAGTTATTGCAAATGTTGGTCAAACACTAATCTATATTTCAGTGTTACTGCACAGAACATACAGTAACCTGTAAGCCCATGGAGTTCTCAGGCTTAACATAATAATAACAATATAATAATATCTTTATTTACTACAAGTGTGGAAAATTGCATTTATCTGAATGTATCATTATATACATAACAGTAAATGAACATAGATAATTATTATTTATCAGTTAGACAAGTAGGAATTTGGGACACCTAGGTCGCAAAAAATGTCCCCCTTCGATACCTACCACTGTCATATCCACAAGTTGCTCTGGACCTATTAATTAAATGAAATATACATCACCAGGAATGCTGGTAAATATATAAATTTGTGGACTGTATATTAAAATTTAAAAAGGATTATAGTATATACACACATTTACATAACAGAAGGAAAATATCTTAATATCACTCACCAATTTAACTGGAGTTTTAAATTGTATCATACTCAGAAAACCTCACTGTCTATAATGAAAATAACAACTGGCCAGAGTTATAACATAACAGACTTATCTGAGGTTCCGGAGTTGTCCTGTCCTGTCGCCTGATTATTCAAGTTATGCAGGAATGCACATCCAAAATTTCGCCTCATATTTGGGAAAGGTGTCAGCCCAAATTTTAACCCTCTAGAGAGCACGAAAATTCCTTCCCATTCACTAAAAGTTGTATCCAATTCAAATTAACAATGGGCGACTCTCCTCCCCAGCTGCAGGTTCCCATTTTCGATAACTACTTCTTTTAAAATACAATTTTAGGGCATCTATTTCCTATAAAAATTACCGTATTTCCGGAAAATATATACAGTATTTTCCACAACAAGTATATGTCTATGCAATACTTAAAATTTAGTACCTAGTTTTTTAAAATATATATATATATATATATATATATTATATAATATATTTATATATAATATATATTATATATATATATATATTACCTGGAGTTTACCTGGAGAGAGTTTCGGGGGTCAACGCCCCCCCGGCCCGGTCTGTGACCAGGCCTCCTGGTGGATCAGCGCCTGATCAACCAGGTGTTGCTGCTGGCTGCACGCAAACCAACGTACGAGCCACGCCCGGCTGATCAGGAACTGGCTTTAGGTGCTTGTCCAGTGCCAAACTTGAAGACTGCCAGGGGTTCCCGTTGGTATATATATATATATATATATATTATATATATTTTATTATATATTATTATATATATATATATATATATATTTATATATATATATATATATAATATATATTTCCCTTAATGATATAATTTCACAGTATTAAAAGGAACTTTTATATGGAATACAGTCACAGGTTAATTCATAAATAATATCACAATAAGACAATATAATTGTGTAGTGTAGCAGAGTGAGTGGTATTATACACATGTGATGTAAATACTTCATTACCACCGTAACTACTGGACCCATTATGTGCCTCTGTAATCCTGTGACTACCACCCACATCATGGCTATGGGGAGCATCATAAGGATATTAAACTAACTAAACTTGACCCCAACACATGTGACCATCACATATCAGATTGAAACTTATCATGACTTTTCGGTCGTTTGGACGTTTTGAGCAGAAACGTCGTCATAAGTTTGTTTCCTACATGCAGGTTATTTGTGTAGTGTTCAGGTCACAGTACTGTGTCAATTCTATTCTTTCTAAGTTTACCTGGAGAGAGTTCTGGGGGTCAACGCCCCCGCGGCCCAGTCTGTGACCAGGCCTCCTGGTGGATCAGAGCCTGATGGCTCTGGCTGCTGGCTGGCTGCACGCGAACCAACGTACGAGCCACAGCCCGGCTGATCCGGAACTAACTTTAGGTGCTTGTCCAGTGCCAGCTTGAAGACTGCCAGGGGTCTGTTGGTAATCCCCCTTATGTATGCTGGGAGGCAGTTGAACAGTCTCGGGCCCCTGACACTTATTGTATGGTCTCTTAACGTGCTAGTGACACCCCTGCTTTTCATTGGGGGGATGGTGCATCGTCTGCCAAGTCTTTTGCTTTCGTAGTGAGTGATTTTCGTGTGCAAGTTCGGTACTAGTCCCTCTAGGATTTTCCAGGTGTATATAATCATGTATCTCTCCCTCCTGCGTTCCAGGGAATACAGGTTTAGGAACCTCAAGCGCTCCCAATAATTGAGGTGTTTTATCTCCGTTATGCGTGCCGTGAAAGTTCTCTGTACATTTTCTAGGTCGGCAATTTCACCTGCCTTGAAAGGTGCTGTTAGTGTGCAGCAATATTCCAGCCTAGATAGAACAAGTGACCTGAAGAGTGTCATCATGGGCTTGGCCTCCCTAGTTTTGAAGGTTCTCATTATCCATCCTGTCATTTTTCTAGCAGATGCGATTGATACAATGTTATGGTCCTTGAAGGTGAGATCCTCCGACATGATCACTCCCAGGTCTTTGACGTTGGTGTTTCGCTCTATTTTGTGGCCAGAATTTGTTTTGTACTCTGATGAAGATTTAATTTCCTCATGTTTACCATATCTGAGTAATTGAAATTTCTCATCGTTGAACTTCATATTGTTTTCTGCAGCCCACTGGAAGATTTGGTTGATGTCCGCCTGGAGCTTTGCAGTGTCTGCAATGGAAGACACTGTCATGCAGATTCGGGTGTCATCTGCAAAGGAAGACACGGTGCTGTGGCTGACATCCTTGTCTATGTCGGATATGAGGATGAGGAACAAGATGGGAGCGAGTACTGTGCCTTGTGGAACAGAGCTTTTCACCGTAGCTGCCTCGGACTTTACTCTGTTGACGACTACTCTCTGTGTTCTGCTAGTGAGGAAATTATAGATCCATCGACCCCAATGGAAATAAGTCACTCTGTCTGACTTTTTTGGGTTATCCTAGGTTCTCTACACATATGCTGCTATGTATGATAATTCTATGTAACTGTATTTGTGTATACCTGAATAAACTTACTTACTTACTTACTAATTTCCTGTTATTCCTTTAGCACGCATTTTGTGCGCTATTACGCCATGGTCACACTTGTCGAAGGCTTTTGCAAAGTCTGTATGTATTACATCTGCATTCTTTTTGTCTTCTAGTGCATTTAGGACCTTGTCGTAGTGATCCAATAGTTGAGACAGACAGGAGCGACCTGTTCTAAACCCATGTTGCCCTGGGTTGTGTAACTGATGGGTTTCTAGATGGGTGGTGATCTTGCTTCTTAGGACCCTTTCAAAGATTTTTATGATATGGGATGTTAGTGCTATTGGTCTGTAGTTCTTTGCTGTTGCTTTACTGCCCCCTTTGTGGAGTGGGGCTATGTCTGTTGTTTTTAGTAACTGTGGGACGACCCCCGTGTCCATGCTCCCTCTCCATAGGATGGAAAAGGCTCGTGATATGGGCTTCTTGCAGTTCTTGATGAACACAGAGTTCCATGAGTCTGGCCCTGGGGCAGAGTGCATGGGCATGTCATTTATCGCCTGTTCGAAGTCATTTGGCGTCATAAGTGGCACTAGTTAGATTGCAATACAATATATAATGAGATAGTTTATGCTTATCTAACAGTATATGACAGTTGAGAGAAAGCTGAAACAAGGGAAGGGATAGAATTGGATTAAATTAGCAAGTTTATCATAGCATATGGCTGTCAAGATTACACTAATTAAGGCAAGAAGGAGCTTTGTATCAGTAGCTTAGAAGTGGTTGGTTGATAGGAAACCTTTAAGATAAGATTTGTTGGAATTTTTGACCCAAGAAAGTCAGTGGGTCACCCAGGATAACCCAAGACAGTGTGTCACCCAGGATAACCCAAGACGGTGCGTCACCGAGGATAACCCAAGAAAGTCAGTGGGTCACCCAGGATAACCCAAGACAGTGTGTCACCCAGGATAACCCAAGACGGTGCGTCACCTAGGATAACCCAAGAAAGTCAGTGGGTCACCCAGGATAACCCAAGAAAGTCAGTGCGTCATCATGGATTGTTTTATTTCCATTAGGAAACCTTTTAAATTTTTAAACAGAGAGTTAAAGATTTCAGGCCTTTGATGCGCACTAAATTGTTACACAGTCAACCACAGGGAGGATATCTAAGATGTGTTCCATACTTGTTGCTCTCACACTTCCTCTGCCCACTGCAGGCATGGATTATGGAAAAAAATGGCATGGAATTTACAGGAAAGATAGAAGCAGATGGAAGGTATGGCCCGGTGGCCTGGTGGCTAAAGCTCCCGCTTCACACACGGAGGGCCTGGGTTCGATTCCCGGGGGGTGGAAACATTTCGACACGTTTCCTTACACCTGTTGTCCTGTTCACCTAGCAGCAAATAGGTACCTGGGTGTTAGTCGACTGGTGTGGGTCGCATCCTGGGGGACAAGATTAAGGACCCCAATGGAAATAAGTTAGACAGTCCTCGATGACGCACTGACTTTCTTGGGTTATCCTGGGTGGCTAACCCTCCGGGGTTAAAAATCCGAACGAAATCTTATCTTATCTTATACAAGCTACCTTCTACTGCTACCCACATAGATGTGTGTACCAGTGGTTGCAGGGGTCGAGTCATAGATTGTGTACTCACCTATTTGTGGTTGCAGGGGTCGAGTCTTAGCTCCTGGCCCCGCCAGGAGTGTGTGTGTGTGTGTGTGTGTACTCACCTAGTTGTACTCACCTAGTTGAGGTTGCAGGGGTCGAGTCCAAGCTCCTGGCCCCGCCTCTTCACTGGTCGCTACTAGGTCACTCCCCCTGAACCGTGAGCTTTATCATACCTCTGCTTAAAGCTATGTATGGATCCTGCCTCCACTACATCGCTTCCCAAACTATTCCACTTCCTGACTACTCTGTGGCTGAAGAAATACTTCCTAACATCCCTGTGATTCATCTGTGTCTTCAACTCCCAACTGTGTCCCCTTGTTGCTGTGTCCCATCTCTGGAACATCCTGTCTTTGTTCACCTTGTCAATTCCTCTCAGTATTTTGTATGTCGTTATCATGTCCCCTGTATCTCCCCTGTCTTCCAGTGTCGTCAGGTTGATTTCCCTTAACCTCTCCTCATAGGACATACCTCTTAGCTCTGGAACTAGTCTTGTTGCAAACCTTTGCACTTTCTCTAGTTTCTTTACGTGCTTGGCTAGGTGTGGTGCCGCATACTCCAATATGGGCGCCTAACGTACACGGTGTTCAGGGTCTTGAACGATTCCTTATTAAGATGTCGGAATGCTGTTCTGAGGTTTGCTAGGCGCCCATGTGTTGCAGCAGTTATTTGGTTGATGTGCGCTTCAGGAGATGTGCCTGGTGTTATACTCACCCCAAGATCTTTTTCCTTGAGTGAGGTTTGTAGTCTCTGGCCCCCTAGACTGCACTCCGTCTGCGGTCTTCTTTGCCCATCCCCAATCTTCATGACTTTGCACTTGGTGGGGTTGAACTCCAGGAGCCAATTGCTGGACCTGGTCTGCAGCCTGTCCAGATCCATTTGTAGTTCTGCCTAGTCTTCGGACGAATGAATTCTTCTCATCAACTTCACCTCATCTGCAAACAGGGACACTTCGGAGTCTATTCCTTCCGTCATGTCGTTCACAAATACCAGAAACAGCACTGGTCCTAGGACTGACCCCTGTGGGACCCCGCTGGTCACAGGTGCCCACTCTGACACCTCGCCACGTACCATGACTCGCTGCTGTCTTCCTGACAGCAGCAGTGTGTGTGTGTGTGTGTGTGTGTGTGTGTACACTCACCTAATTCACCTAGTTGTGGTTGCAGGGGTCGAGACTCAGCTCCTGACCCCGCCTCTTCACTGACCGCTACTGGGTCCTCCCTCTCCCTGCTCCATGAGCTTTATCATACCTCGTCTTAAAACTATGTATAGTTCCTGCCTCCACTGCATCGCTTGCCAGACTATTCCAATTCTTAACAACTCTGTGGCTGAAGAAATACTTCCTAACATCCCTTTGACTCATGTGAGTCTTCAACTTCCAATTGTGACTCCTTGTTTCTGTGTCCCATCTCTGGAACATTCAAATTCAAATTTTTTCAAATTCAAAGTTTATTCTCTATAAGGATTACAATGCTGAGTTTACAGAAATTTGGTTATTGTTTGGTTTACATGTAGTAAAATTGTGATTACAGAGTGTACCACTAGAACGCTTAGCATGGCTAGGCATTTCGGGCATACTTAGTTTTATTCTTAATTGTAAAATATTACAAATTATGAGGTAAGTTGGTATTATGGCTAAGTGACTAAATACTAGTTTGTGAGTTTAGCAATGTGAATGCTTTTGTTTTGGCACAGTACATAGTTTCAGTATTGGAGTATCACAGGATTCATTATTTTAAGACTGAGATTAATATTTCTGTTTATGGTCAAATGAGTGAGTGAGTGTAAGTGTGAACCACCAGGTGGTATTCGTGTAGTTAGTTGACGGGGTGTATCAGGGAGATAAGATGTTTTCTAATGGTAGTTTTGAAGGTGATGAATGTGTCTGCAGTTCTAGAGTTCTCAGGTAGGGTATTCCAGATTTTAGGGCCTTTGACATACATTGAATTTTTGTAAAGGTTTAGTCGGACACGGGGAATGTTGTAGAGATGTTTGTGTCTGGTGTTATGCCTGTGGGTTCTGTCACAACTATCAAGAAAGCGTTTTAGGTCAAGGTTGATATTAGAGTTTAAGGCCCTGTAGATATAGATTGCACAGTAGTAAGTGTGGATGTACTGAACTGGGAGTAAGTTTAGATCTATGAAGAGTGGGGGGGGTGTGTTGCCAGGGATGGGATTTAGTGATTATTCTTACTGCAGCCTTTTGTTGGGTTATTATTGGCTTTAGGTGTGTTGCTGCAGTTGATCCCCAAGCACAAATAGCATAGGTGAGGTATGGATAAATAAGTGAGTGGTATAGTGTGAGAAGGGCATTTTGCGGCACGTAGTATCGTATCTTGGAGAGGATCCCAACCGTTTTGGATACTTTTTTGGCTATATGCTGGATATGGGTGCTGAAATTCAGGTTGTTGTCTAGGTATAAGCCTAGGAATTTTCCCCCATTATTTCTGGTAATTCGAGTGTTGTCAATCTTAATGTTAATTTGTGCATCTCCTGCTCTGCTACCAAACATAATATAGTAGGTTTTGTCAGTGTTAAGCGTAAGTTTATTGGCTGTCATCCAAGTCGATATTTTAATCAGCTCCTCATTCACAATGGTGTTGAAGGTGGCAATATTAGGGTGAGAGATGACATAAGTCGTGTCATCAGCAAAGAGAATGGGTTTCAGGTGTTGGGATACGTTTGGAAGGTCATTGATGTATATGAGGAAGAGCAGGGGACCAAGGACACTTCCCTGCGGAACTCCAGTATCAAGTGGCCGTGTTGCTCATACTGATACCTATTAGTAATGTAAGATTTGAAATAAGCAAGCGCATGGCCTTTTATACCGTAGTGATCAAGTTTGTGGAGTAGGATGTCGTGGTCTACTGTGTCAAAAGCTTTTCTTAGGTCAATAAAAATTCCTAGTGGATATTCCTTATTTTCCAATGCTGTGTAAAGCAGATCTAGCATTTTTATGATTGCATTATTAGTGCTTTTATTTTTCCTGAATCCAAACTGGCAGGGGTTGAGTATGTTTTGAGCCGTTATAAATGAATACAGTCTCATGTGCACGAGTTTCTCAAAGATTTTGGATAGCAATGGTAAGTTAGATATTGGCCTATAGTTGTTTAAGTCTGTAGGGTCACCACCTTTATGTATTGGTGTAACCCTTGCCATCTTGAGTAGTTTCGGGAAGGTGCTAGTCTCTATTGACTTGTTAAAAAGTAATGAAATAGCATACAAAAGGACATGGGCCGCTCGCTTGTACAGTAATGGTGGGACATGAGACAGATTCCCCGAGTTATTTTTAAGTGACTTTATGATCTCAATGACTTCCGTGGGCTCAGTTGGTGCAAGATAGAAGGAATTAGGGAAATTTCCATCTAGGTAGTCCCGGGCATGGGCATTGGTATGTGGGATTTTACTGGCAAGATTAGATCCTATGTTTGAGAAGAAGTCGTTTATCTTGTTAGCTGTGTCAGTGGGATGTAGTGGTGTTTCATTAGGTTTAGTTAGGACAATATTCTTGGTTTTTCTCAGTTTGTGGGTCCCTAGAATCTGAGAGAGTGTTTTCCAGGTCTTTTTTATATCTCCTCTAGTGTCTGTGAATCTGCTGGAGTAGTATAGTTGTTTGGCTTTTTTTTATTACTTTGGTGAGAGCTGATGAATAGTGTTTAAGAGTATCTTTGTGTATTAAGCCCTGTCTATATTGCTTTTCATATTGGTGTTTCTTGTCAATGGATTTCAGAATGGTGCTGGTTAGCCATGGGCAACCAAGCCGTTTGTTTGTGATCTGTTTTGTTTTTATAGGACAATGTTTGTTGTATAGTCTAAGTAATTTGTTAAGAAAAATGTCTGTCCAGTCATCAATACCATTGGCCTTGGAGAATTCTGTAGGCCAATCAACAATCTCTAGGTCAGCTGTGAACTTCCTTACTGAGGCCTCGTCATGGAGTCTAAATGAGACTTTGTTGTATTCAAGTGGTGGTTTACTAATGTTTGTCAGGAGGAAGGTAGGGTAGTGGTCTGTAGTGCTATCTGTGATTATCCCTGATTTAAGGGGGGCTAGTATATTGGTCCATATGTGGTCTATTATGGTTGCACTTGTCTCAGTGAGCCTGGTTGGTTTAGTTATTGTTGGTATGAGAAGTGTGTTGTTCATATTGTTGATGAAATCAGTTACAGGCTGATCATCTAGTAAGCCAAGGTTGATGTTGAAGTCTCCAGCTAAGAGAAGGTGGTGCTTATTCATTTGTCTGTTTGTTATTAGTGACTTTAATTTCTCACTGAAATTTGGGATGTTTGTGTGAGGTATCCGGTAAATGGCACCGATTATTATAGGCGTCTTAAGGTTTTTTACAGTCTTTGTCCACCTTGTCTATTCCACGCAGTATTTTGTATGTCATTATCATGTCTCCCCTGACCTTCCTGAGTGTGTGTTGTGTGTGTGTGTGTGTGTGTGTGTGTGTGTGTGTTGTGTGTGTGTGTGTGTGTGTGTGTGTGTGTGTGCCGGTGGTTCCTATGGTAACAAATATAAACGTACTGTTATGCCAAACGCCTCAAGAAACTACAATATCTTAGCACAACTACATATGCCCGAAACAAATATTAAAGTTAACTAATAGACTTATAAAAGGTTTAAGCTCGCAGAATAAATAATTTTATCTGTATAAAGTCAAAGACAGACTTTTTAGTTTCATTATTCTGCATTTTGAACTCGTAAATCATTGTATCCAAGTAAAACTTGTGTTGCTACTGACAACACTGATGCCATATACGTCACAATGTGATATTTTATGCATGATTATATAAGAGAATTTACGAGCAGAGGTCCTAGCCAATGGCAGGATGGATGTGGTGGCCTTGCAACCTTTGTGGTTACATCGACCAACATCTTGACCCACAAGCTGGTGTTGCCAGGCAACCTCAGTGTGTTTACTTGCATTCATTCTTCTGAAGGTTACCTGCAACATCTTAATGATTCTGAGGCCTTCAGTGTTGTCTACTGCTAGGTGAAGCTAACAACCTGCAGGTCTGATTATGGCCTGAGTATGTCGATGTTAGAAATTGTAATGTATACGTGTTTTAAGACTATTAGGACGTGGGATTAGTGTGATGCTACTTGGTGTGTGTATATATGGAGAAAACAACGCTTCATTACCTTACTAAGTCACACTACTGTACACTTGTACTGTCAACAGGGTGAGTATCTGTGTCATGCAGAGAAGTGAATTTGTTAAGTTAAACTATGTTAGTGCGGTGATGTTTAGCGCGTGCTGGCAGTGTGCAAGTCGAGGAGAGAAGTGTGAACATCACTCATGACGCCCAATTTGGAGGAGGTCACACACTGCAGCGACGCCAGCACCTCCGGGGAAGTAGTACCTACCCAACAAACTGACTTACAGAGTCCTAGTTCTTCTCCGGGCCCCAGATATGTGGCCCAGGAAGCCCAGACAGGGCCCCAGGCGGCAGTGTGGTGGTGACGGATCTAGAGGATGAGGGAGCCACCACTATCATGGGTGAAGGTGGTGGCCTTCTGGCTGGATCAGGTGGCCACCACCAACACGGGTGCCTGTGGCCACAGGAGTCTGTGGCCACACATAGCAGGGTGTCAGCACGTGAGGCCGCCTCAACACACAGTCTTGATGACGAAGATGACAATGAGGTAAGTTACAACCTATCTTATTTCGAAGAATTGTAGCTGCCCTTCCCTTCCCTCGCATCAGACCTGATAACCTACCATGTCCCAGGCACTCTATGTCCATTACCAGTTTAATATTTCCCCACGAGCATTATACCTGATGGACCAAAATATCGACCACAGTTTCTTCTCTGTTTTGTGGATTACTGTTCCTATGTTTATCTGGCCTTGCAATAATGCTCACACATCCCATATTTTTACGTGCTAACATAAATAGAAATGGTTATAACTATGACCATAATTTTTAAAGGGGTTGACCGGTAAGCCAGGGGAAGGCCTCGGTCAAATGACCAAAAGCTCCAACGGCGGGTCATCTGACTAAAACCTGTGTCAGGAAACACTTGTTTCCTGACAAACCTTACTTAACCTAACCGTGCTAACATATATTACAACAGTAAACCAGATAGATGTTTGTCACCACCCGCTCCTACACCCGCAGTGGGTTTAGCGCTTCTTTTTTATTATAATAATAATCCTACACCCACAAGAAAATTATCATCTTAGCAGCTCCACTGTTTACTAACAATCCCGACCATCGCTTTACCAAGATACAGAACCGTTAAAATTTTGAACATATTAGTAACACGTGAACATACTAGCATCTCATGAACATAATAACAACAGATGAGTATATTAGTATCTCATGAACATACTAGCATCTCATGAACATACTAGCATCTCATGAACATACTAGCATCTCATGAACATACTAGCATCTCATGAACATACTAGCATCTCATGAACATACTAGCATCTCATGAACATAATAAGATAGGTAACTATTATAAAGATATACGTACTTACATTCAGTATGTTTTTTTGTAGTTTTATTAATATTATTAAACAGTTGGTGTCCAACTTAAGAAGCTCGGTCTCAGACCCATACGCGGGGGAGGGGGGGGGGTTCTGGAACTTCCAGATCATCACCCCCGCATCACAGTGATTATATATTAATAGTTCCAGAATGGAATTATTAACATATAATCACTATGTACTACCACCATTACCCCTACCACCATTACCAGAGTATAATCCCGCAGCAGAGCTGGTGGACGGAGAGTGGTCCCGTGGCCACGGTGAAGTTGGTGTTGGAGACGGGCGTGGGGGTGATCACAAGGGCGTGGCCGCTACTCCAGCCCGCCCACGCCCTCAAGAACCACCTCAGTAACACCACCCAGGTTCCCGCCCAGTTTCTGCAGGTAAGACCTATCCCTTATCTCTTGTGGGAAGTTTTGAAATGGTGCTGATTAGTGTTATGTTGCAGAGTGAGCTGTGTGGCGTTCAGAACTGTTATAATCACACACACACTCACACACACACACACACACACACACACACACACACACACACACACACACACACACACACACACACACACACACACACACACACACACACACACACACACACACACACATTATTAAATACCTGTAATATTACATACCTGTAGCGAAGCTCGTAGGCTCCTGTATATATATTTTTTATGCAATCTTATTTCATTATGTACAAGATTCAACTTCATTACACATAAGGATTTCATATAGCTGGATTCCAAATTTACAAATATTCTAAAATTCTTTTCGGAAAACTCCAAAAATCATAATAGCAAACTGATCTGATTTTTTTTCTTTTCAATAGTTACACTTAGTATGTCTGTTAAAGCCTACCAACTGTTGTCAGTGTTTGTTATTGAGGCTGTGGAATCAGGGATTAACATTTGCATAAACTCCTCTGTAGAGTTCGGTGATAATTTATATAAAAAATGGTTATAACTATGACTAATTTTTAAAGGGGTGGAGGGGTAAGCCAGTGGAAGGCCTCGGTCAGATGACCAAAAGCTCCAACGGCGGGTCATCTTGTAAGACCCGCGTCAGGAAACACTTGTTCTGTTTCCTGACGAACCTATCCTAACCTAGGTGATAATTTGTATTTTAATGTGTAGAATATTATGTGGGTTTTACAGTGGAGACTTTTTTTGAGATGGGGATAATTCTTAGAAAAAAGGTGTATTGGTGTTTTGTGTGCTAGATTATAGTAAATATTGAGTCATGAGTACAGTAACCACCCATGTGTGTGGGCGTGCAGCTGGTGGTTCACGGGCGTGTGTTGAGTGACGACGCCACTCTTAGCAGTGTGGGCGTCGAGGCCAACGAGACGGTGCAGGTGGGTGTCTCCTCTAAACGCCCACACAGTCATCCACTGACCCTGTTGGCACCCACCACGCCCACACTGCCCACACCAGACGTCATCACTGTCATCGTCGCAGAAGGTGAAGTACTCACTGGTTGTCCACCGTCATCTCAACTATTACATTTCCTTTTATTATTAATTTTTGAATTATTGAAAGAGCGCTAAACCCGCAAAACTTATTCAGCGTCTTGAAAGATTATCCGGTTTGACCTGAGGATAAGGACGGTAGCTTCAGTTCCTTGGATCACAGGCAACAAGACAATCCTCTTCCTCTTTTATTGATTTTAACGTTTAATATCACCCGCCGACTAAGATTCTGTTCCTGTATTATTGTTACTCTGAGTATAATTGATTTTTTTTTTTTTTTGGGGGGGGGGGGGCTTCGATTTATTGCCTTTTTTAATGTTACTGAGCAAAGTGTGCCTTTAATACTGTTATATTTTCCGACAGTTTTTAGGATCTGTTGTAATTTAGAATAAATTTGTCTGATATACAATAAAATTAGGCCTCTCGTTTTATGCTTTCAGATTTTTGTAATATATTCTAATAACATTTAAAATAACAATAGGTTATATACAGAGAGAGGTATATATCCGGTGTATATATGATGAGAGTTTACTCTATTCCATATTTTAGGGATTAAAGTGTTAAGACTTTATGCTGTCCTAGCCTTCATTTATAGCCACTGGCGAGCCCAAGGTGGCTGGTCAGAGACCGAGTCGCGGGGGAGATTAGCAGATATAATGTGTATGACGGTGGTGTTGCAGGTGGAGGTGTGGAGAGGGAGGTGGTAGTGGAGGTGGAGTGGGGGGCAGGACCCAAGCCGTGGCTGGGGGGCTACAGACACAAACTCTCAGGAATACTCTACCACAACGCTGCTACCCAGACTATACCCAGAGTTAGGACAATACCAGGTATGTTACTCTACCACAACGCTGCTACCCAGACTATACCCAGAGTCATGACAATACCAGGTACGTTACTCTACCGCGAGGCTGATATCCAGACTATACCCAGAGTCAGGAGAATACCAGGTACGTCACTATCACAAGACTGCTGCCCAGTTTGAGAGACAGTAGATAGAACAAAAGTGGATATTACTAACAACACATGATTTAGCCTTTCGTTCTTCCTTTAGGGCAGGTGACCAGGGGCACCCAAACAGTGTGGGCATGCGGGCGTGGGTGTCAGACCCTCCGCACTGCCTACACCCAGACCACACACCTCCATCCTCTGGTGTACATATCCACGCCCGTGTTCATCACGCCCAGACCCTACTCCCCTACTCGTCGCTATGATATCGCAAAGGTAGGGGAAAAATATTCTTCTGTCGGTGAGCTGAGAGACATATCACACTAAGGTGGATGAGCAGGTGTTGAAAGATAATACAAAAACTGTCTCGCAGGTGTTGGTTCTACAACGGATGCTGCGAGGGTGGCTTGCTCGCAAACAACTGCGCAGACTACGTCAGGTACTATCCATGATACCTGTAGGTTCTGACACGCATGATTCTTTTATGATAATATTAGGATATATTTTGAATGGTAGCTCTGAGGAGAAATCTTTCTCTAGTGTATGTACTTTCGAACAGATTAGAGAGACTGAGCTACAAGCAGCAGAAGCAAGTGAAAGAAGAAGCGTGGCGAGCGTAGAGTCTGACACATCCAGCAGCCCCACCCCACACCAGGTAACCATTTCTTACATACACCTCACGGTATATACATCGAAATATAACGATCTCACCATACATATGTCAAAACGAAACTCGAGAAATTACAAAGGATGTCATTAAGACTAGTGCTTGATATAACAGGAATGAGCTACAAAGAAAGAATGCTCGAATAAGGCCTCATGCCATAGAAGGAACGAAGAACAAGAGGGGATATAAGTATTGATATTAAAAGTATACATGGACATAGGGTAAACAAGGGCAGGCTCTTTACCAGGGATGAAACAATATTTGTTCCTCTAGTCTGTTCCTTCTATTCATGATTTCTTTACCATGAAAATATATGAAATTAATCAAATATAAGTAAAACCCTGCTCACAACTCGACTATTTTACAATGAAATCACTATATGTAGGTATCTCCCAAAGGAATTTCAGTACCTTAGTCTCACCCTCACATGACTAACATATGGTGATGGTTGCAGGCGTGGCGGCAGGCAGTACCCATGACAGAGTTATACTCACGTCTGGAGAACTGGCGCAGGAATCAAGTGTCTCAAGTGAACGCCACACTGAGGGGCAAGGATCGTAGACGAGCACTGGTCGCTCTCCTCGAGAAGGAAACTGAGTTACTCAGGTCACTTGAGGCTCACAGAGCTGCCCGCTCTGCTAGGCGGAGGAACGCTGACATAGCCAGGTTTTTGCAAGAGGTCAGTGTTCGGTGTGGTTTAAATTACTGTAAAAATGTATATCTTAGGAGATATATTGTAGTAATTGTTGACGTTTTCTGCGTCAGGAAAGTCTCCTGGTATGTGTCTTAATCAAATCACGACCCGCTCAGTAATAGCTATGATTTTTTTAAGCAGTTCATGCGACAGGCCAAGAGCTGTTATACCTCAGCTCATGTCAAAGTCTGACTCTATAGTATGCTGTAGCAGACTCCCAGGAAGTGACCCAAAACATATTATAAACTGCCAGGTTCTTTTTCATTGCTAGGTGAGCAGGGCCAGCAGGTCTCGCCCTGCCCTTCTACTCACCTTATTAATAAGTATATGCAAGATGTTTAAGGTTTATATACTTAATTCTGTTTCTAATTCAATCTTTACTTTGATAAATGAAGGCAAATTTGAATTAAAATGATAATTAGCACTGATCAACACTTCCACCAAATATTTCACGTATCAAGAATTTAATAACAATAGTTTTTGATAAACTGGTATATATATTATAATAAAGTAGCTAATGCAGTCAAATAACGTATAATAAAATTATATAATCATACTAATAAAGAGATATTCAGTGTTATAAGTCTATAGAGCTCACTTTAGTTATTTTTATTACAATTGGTCGTAGACTATAATGAAACAATGTTACAACGAAAAAGAGCTGGTCGATTAAAAAAATCCGATTTATATTTTGTCCTGCTCGCTAAATGTACTTTGTAATTAATCGGACAAATTTGCCCGAGGTTACGATAAGCGAGACAGTAACATCACTAGTTAAATTACCATAAAATATATTCCCCAGGTCAGTAAGTCATACTAGTGTACACAAGAGGGAGCAAACCCGAGCTATAAAGTTTCTTTAATATGGGCAAAAAAATAGATAGATATTCTAACTAACAGACAGATGATCGCAGGAGCTACTAGGCACAGGAGTCCATAATTCGTCGTAATATTTTGAGGTGAAAATTGACAGCTTGGTACATGTTTGTGTTTGCAGGTGCCGGAGATGGCGACGTTACCGGAGGTGTAGAGAAGGCATGCGATGGTTCTGGCAATATAACTCTTGTATAGTTCATGTAGGTACAATGTGATGAACGCAAGACATGAAGAGTTGATATAAAAGTTCTAATGAATGATTTAGCGGTCCAAAGCATAGAGTAACCATATTGTTTGGCTAATTAGATGTGCATGTGTGTTCGTCAGTTGGAATGCTCACGCACATTAAATAACTTAATACTTTGACTAGGGCATACTGGAGATATTAACAGCACCGTCTTTAACACATTTACACATCATTTCACAGTTCATTAATCCTCATCACTCAGCGCAGCAGGTAAGGTCACTCATTAAATAATTTACACAAAGTATTTACCCTGCACAGCAATAAATGCCCTTACACAACACTTACTATATCACTTAGGTTCATTACTTTTCACTGTATCAATGTATCGGGCATCACATTTTACTTTGTTTTACTAGAGATCACTAGGTACGATGACTGGTACGTCACCTCACTGCACTCAGTTGGTCAAGATATCTCACTTTCTGTCACATCGCAACACATCAGTTCCATTGTTTGTGAGATGTAATAAATATCGGAAGCAAAAATATAAATAAGTTATTTTATGAACACCTTAAAATCTACCTACATTAAAAACAAATGAACACAAATTCCTGTTATAAACAAGTAAAGCCTATTATATTAGTGCATTAAGACAATAAGAAATGTCTCCCCTTCCTCACGTCACACTTCCAAGTCCTCAGGCACTGTATTGATCCATGTGGATTTAGCGCTTCCCTAGTAATATAATTATTTCTTGGAAGAGTATTCTAGAAAGTCCTATTATAGATTTGTGTACAGTTTTGGTTAGCATATTAGAGACAGGATAACTAAAGATGAGGGTGAGCAGCGCCTAACGACCAACATGGTACCTAGACTATCGTGTCAATTTCATGAAAACCGTCTGACTTGCCCCACTTGCAAGGCGAACACTGAGGTGACTCACTACAAGTATTTAAATGTATCAAAGGGCATAACAGTCTTGATTCATGAAAATACTTTGTGTTCAATCAACGCAAATTCTCTTCCTGTGATCTCATTTGCTCGGACCATTTCCTCTTTTCTGCAACATTGCAAGCTCCTGAGGATGTGTTGATTGCAACACGAAAGGCCCAGAACTATCATTCAACTCCCCTTCCCCGTGGTTTTATGTGTATATATATATATTATGTTATATATATAAATATATATATATTATATAAAATATATATATATATATATATATATATATATTTATTATTATTTATATATATATATATATATATATATATAATATATATAATATATATATATATAATAACCACAATCATAACAAATATATATAATATATATATATATATAATATATATATATATATAATATATATATATATATATATAATAATATATAATATATATATATATATATATAACATATAAATTATTCATGGTTTTAATAACGGATACTTCTTTACCGTAATGTGCTGAAAGATTGGTGGTTGTAATGGATGTGATCCTCACAGGTGTCCAGTGCTCAGGTGTGGAGGGTTAGTGGCGTTGCTGGAGGAGTGGAGGTGGAGACTCCAGACACACAGCCTATTAGAGTCCTGGCAGCCCTTGCTACAGCTCTCCAACAAGACGCTACAGCAGAACTTCGCACCCAACAGTTCAACAACTTATACGAAATAGTAATTCACTCTTAATTCACACCTAATTCATAAATTAGTGATAAAACGAGACTACGTTCCGATTCGCACTGGACCATTAACAAACCGCGAAACTACCATTATCTTTAATTTTTGGGATTGTTGTGATAAGTTTCAGCCAATATTGTAGCTGACTGATTAGAAACTAAGTTTACTGCAATGAAACTGATCATTATGTAACTTGAACAAATCCCTAACCTGAGAATTGACATACATGTGCATGGAGAGCTGACAGATTGAGAGTAAGAGTGTTCTGCGCTCCAGGTAGAGCAGTACTGCCCCACCCATGATGATGGACCAAGAACCCGTCGCACGGCAGCGGATATAAGAAGTTTGGCTCGTCGAGGAGTGGACCTGCTGGCCCGCGGTACTTCTGACAGCAGGTTAAGGGGTCTCCGTAAGCGCCTCCACAGCCTAATAATCACCTACCTTCACCAGGTACGTTACTATTCACCAGTAAGAATATCACCTCTCGTAGCTGGAGTATGGCGTAGATGACAAGTGGTAAAAGACACAGCATAACGACTCTTCGTTAGCTGTATCAATTGTTTGATAAAACTCATATAAGCGAAACATCGTACTAATAAAGGGCTCCTTTATTAATACGATAGAGGGATCACTTGGTAAAAAAAACACCTACATCAAAAGGAAGCTTTATTAAATACTTTATAAAGCTTCATGTAGGCGACACGTAGTACTAATGTAGGTCTCTTTTTTGTGTTATTTATACCAAACATTTCTCCATCGTCTCTCATCTACTACATTCACATTTTTGTCATGAAATTATTCAATCTAAATTTTGTTTACACCGCTGAAGTTTTATTATTATGATTTTATCTTAAATATTAAGTATTATATTTGTGTTGCAGGTTCAGGGTCGTGTGTCTTCTATTGTGGCACCCCGTTCTATCCGTGCTGCTGGTGCCAAGCCTGTCTTACTCACTACCAGGATGACCTGAATTCCCTATCAGAGCAGCTTGATCTCCCTATCAGGGCAACTTGATCTCCCTATCACCACAACCTAATCTCCCTATCAGGGCAACCTGATCTCCCAGTCAAGGCAACATGACTTTGCTGTAGGTGCCAATCTCAGCATTTTAATCAGGATGACCTGGCCTCAGTACTAGGATCACCTGGCCTCTTCCAGGATGAGCTGACCTCATCTGAGCAGGATTAACACGTTCACTTACTTCAAGATTTCCCACTTCTTATGCAAACAACAGCCGCCTGGCTCGATCCCATATGATTTTGTTTACACATTCAGATTACTATGCAACTGACAGTTTAGTCAACTATTAACTCCTCTGTACACAAATAACCCGCACATAGAAGAGAGGAGCTTACGACGGCGTTTCGGTCCGACTTGGACCATTTACAAAGTTCCAGTCACGATATTGTGGCTTTTATTGTTATTTATTATCTCCTCTGCCCCAAATACGATTCTTGTGGGCGGTGTCATAGAATTATGGAGTCACATAATGGGTCCAGGAATTGGGCCCCAATGTACAAAGTAATGAACTATTTACAAATTTATTAGCTTCAGGAAAGATAGTAATGACTTTAAACAGTCATGAATTCAGTCACAAAAACATTGCAATAGAGTGATATGTGGTTATGAGTTATTTAAAAATAGGCAAAGAATAGTTTTTTTCCAGAATTGCTGATAATATGTTACTGGGTAAATTAATTCGACATTTCTTGAACATTTGTGAATTGTAATTGAATTCACAAATTTTATCGTAGTCCAATATATAATGACGCGGGATGAGATAAGTATCGCACATGTGTTGTATACTGTGGTAAGTTTAGGCTTACATCAGCTTGTGCCTTGAGCTTAGCTGAAGCTGGGCATTGGTGACATCAAGTGTTAATTTTGTTGGATGCACCATAGACTTGTGACTCCTCTTGCATGATAGATGGTTATTGAGGAAACATTTCCTCAATGAAGATTCCCGTATGTTGCACGAAACGTTTCCTCAATAAAGATTCCCATGATAGAATGGTGACAGATGGATTGACTGGTACCACTCTCCCTCTGTCTCAAGTCACAGTTGAAGTTCTTTTCGTATTACTGTCCTCAAACTACCAGATGGCGGACAAAATTTTAATCTCCCTCCGTGAAGGCATACGCTGTTGCCAATTCAAAAGTTCTGTCATGCATTTGAAGGCAGTACTAGAGGGAATCCACAAAAGTGTACTCTGATTCCAGTCTAAAATTCTTTCAAACCTGTCTGGCTCCTGGCACAAGCATGCCACAATTAACACTCATGGAGTTGAAAACATATATGGATGATAATCACATACAATTAAATGTCAACTTTAAATGTATGGACATAAATATGAGTGTAAGAAGTATACCAAACAGTTCAGTTGATGCATTCTCCAGTGTCTACACTAAATCCATCGTTCTACATAACACTGGTACTTCCAGTTGCACTAATTAGAGGGTTGGTGAACACACCCTTCAGCATATGAATATATTAGTTGTACCTAGACAGCTATGACCAGCTTTCTTTAAAGGGGGTGGGAAGGGTGCCTTTATTATGGCAAAGGGTTCTTGTTCCAAGGTATTGGAGCTACCGTACCCTTCCTCGAATTAAGCTTGACTATCTGTGATTCCCCAGGCACTATATGACCTATATGGGTTCCAAAAACAGGTAATTCTGCTAAAAGAAAGATCCTTTTTCTAGCATTTAAACTATTTTAAGACTTCTGGATTGATCTCATGTACAAAATAATTACTAAAATGTATATATTTATCAACTATGTTTCTGATATTAAATCTACCTCTGGAGTCTACTCAAAACAATGAGATTTATTTTATACTAGAATTAGCAGATTAAGAAATATAGTCATAATTTAACTTGATTTAAAACCTAGTCTTACCTGCTAGGATGATACCAATAACACTAGGTTAACCTTTGTTGCTTTGAGGTATAATAAAAAATTCATATTATTTTTCTTATATATTTTTCTCTTAATATATAATGTTTGGCACATACAGTATGTAAATAAAATAAAAAATAAGACATCAGTTTGTTCTGTCTTAGTATGTAGTATTGAACCTCCTACAGTATAGAGAGATGTAGTTCTCGTATATTTTATGGAGTATTCAAGGAGAGGTCTACAGCAGGAGTATCAGTAGTATGTGAAAGGTGTTAGCTTCTTAGTGCAGGTGAACCAGAACTTCCTTAACATGGAATCAGGAGCGAGAACAAATTGCTCGGAGCGTCGACAACACTGAGCAGCTTCCGGGAGTTTTCCTTTATCTCGGTAAGTTAGTGACAGTGAGGTGGCCTGAGACCAGAGGGTGAGCGTGTGGTGGCTGCTGTTGCATGGAACCAGACTTTCGTGCTGACAAGACTATAAGAGCTTGAAGTTAGACCAGGAAACATGCAAGGCAAAACCAGCGGAGGAGGGGAGACCATTTTTTCAGGTGAAACTATTAACTATTAGACAAGATCATTGATATACGATGAAACCAACTGACGAGACCAACTTGCATGTACACGGGATGATCAGCCAGATTTGAACCCCTCAGTTTAGTTTCTAGACAGCACACAAGAACGTTTTGGCTGTTGATGACTACGTTCACTTGACGTCACCGTACAGCTGAGTGAAATTCCTGAAGCGTCTTATAAAATGGATGCATGTTCGTAATCGGAGGCAACAGTAGTTTAAGGATTTAGGGATGGGGAAGAGGGATGTGGACTGTTCAGAGTGTGTAAATGTTGGTTGTGTTTACCTGGCAGGCAGGGATTGTAAGAGTTTTAACACGATTGTTTGTAGGGGTTGCATGTTTTATGTAAAGTTAATGTGTTGTTTGTAGGATGTAAGAGAAGCCGGACGGCTGACACTGTAGGCGGGTCGGGAAAATAGGTGGCGGGGCACTAGAGGTAAAATTAGGGAGGGATGATAAGTGAGAGTTAAGACTAGTGGGTCATTGAGTGGCGGAGAGTTTATTGTAAGGATGTATGATGGGTGGGAGTTATGGGAAGATTAGTGGGTCAGTAATCATCAAGTTCCTCAGTCCGCTGGGGGCCGTGGTTGCCTCGTTTACCAAACCTGTAATATAGAATGAATTTGTTAAGTCATTCCAGGGAAAGATGGACCGAGATGTGAGTCTCTCGGTTTATATACACGGAGAGTTTACTGTAATCTCTGTTTTAATGATTAAAACTTTTTTACTGGTATATGGGTTACATGTGTGTGTTTGGTGCGTTTAAATAGACGTGAATTCACGCCAAACTCACGTGTAGTTAAATAAGATGAGATCATGGCATCACATGAGCCAGACAATCATCATCTGGTTTTCCACGTTTGTTACAAAATTAAATAAATAGTGAATAAAATGCAATATACATAAGAGTTATTCTCACTCTAGGTTCCATACAGCCCTAGGATAATTTAGTTCACAATAGGCTGCAGTTACAAGCGTGATATTACGCATATTCTTCTCCTAACATGAAAAATTAAAATAAAATTTCAACTTGGGGTTAAGGATGACGCCTAAAATTTTTCATTGGTGTTGTTACAAGCATTTTTTTTAGTATAGTCGTGTCCCGTAGCTCGGTTGGTAGCGCAGTCAGTTCACACTGAGTGTCCGTGGTTCGATCCCCGGTACAGGTGGAAACATTAGGGCGTGTTTCCTTAAGACACCTGTTGTCCCTGTTCACCTTGCAGTAAGTACCTGGGTGTTAGTGGACTGGTGTGGGTCGCATCCTGAGGGACAAGATTAACCTAAGTTGCCCGAAATACTCTGCATAACAAGGGGCTTTCTATATAGTATGTCACTGATGTCAGCTACGGTCTGTATAAGTTGTATTTGTACTTGTAGAAAAAAATTATTATTATTATTATTATTTTTCTTTTTTGGGCCACCCTGCCTTGGTGGGAATCGGCCAGTGTGATAATAAAAATAATAATATTATCTGACGATACAGTTATCGTGGGAGTACCTTGGTCGTCCAGCAATGGCGTAGTAAGCATTGAGAGCGTCGAGGTATTGCCTGAGTTCCACTGGTGACTTGAACATGCTGGGTCTGTTAGGGTACTGGATCTCAGCTGAGCCCAGGATGCCAGCCATGGCTGCTTCATGCATGGCTTGTAGGGCTTCCACGGCTGAAGTGTCTGCTCGTGCTGCTGACATCCGACCTGCCACCACCGCTGCCACCATCACTGCCACCACCGCTCCGATCATCATGGTGCCTCGCATAGCCTGCAACACAAACACATGATGGGGCATAGCCTAGCCTGCAACACAAACACATCATGGGGCATAGCCTAGCCTGCAACACAAACACATCATGGGTCATAGCCTAGCCTGCAACACAAACACATCATGGGGCATAGCCTAGCCTGCAACACAGTCTACTAAGAGGTTGCAGTCTCATGACCCAAAACACAACCATAACCACGAGCACCACAACCCATACCACCAAACTACCATCAACACCACCACCAATACCACTACACTACCATCAACACCACCACCAATACCACTACACTACCATCAACATCACCACCAATACCACTTCGCTACCATCAACACCACCACCAA